GGTTTTGTTTTGTTTTTTTAAGATTTTATTTATTTGACAGAGAGAGAGCACAAGTAGGGGGAGCAGCATGCAGAGGAGAAGCAGACTCCGCACTGAGCAGGGAGCCCGATGCGGGGCTCGATCCCAGGACTCTGGGATCATGACCTGAGCTGAAGGCAGATGCTTAGCTGACTGAGCCACCCAGGTGCCCCCCAAATTCTGTTTGCTTTTTCAGTTCAAGCACCCATCCCATCATCATCTGACTTAGACTGTCTTAATGTCCTAATTCCAAATCCTTTGGAAAGAGCATCTGATTGATCTGTCTTGAGTCAGGGAAAATGTGATAGGGGTGGTGGCTGGGAAGCAATTGCAAACATGGTGCCAGCATGGGCTGGACAAGTACCTCCAATCTGTCACCCTTCGTAAGGAAAATCAAAATTAGTCACATCTACAGAACAGGCCAATCAAGAGCCCCCAGGCTCTTCTAAAAGATCCATGCCCATGACTGCCTGAGAGGGAGGTAACTCTGGCTGGTCAGATTTTGAACATGTGACCCTGACTTCTCCTTATCACTACCATGATTAATCGGATCAGAAAGGGTTATATGACCCAGAGGCAGCCTGTCCATCATCTGGGTAGTGATCTCTGAGATTGACTAGCCTCCAAAGCTCTGCTGCACAGGGACAACAGTGATCAATCAACTTCTTTCCCTTCTAGAATTGGAGTGGAAAACACAGAATGAGCCAAGGCAAGGATAGCAAGTGAGAGTCTCTCTCAAAGTGAGTCCTAAAGTGAGACTTGGGGGGATGGTGGGGTTCTCTTCGGAGATACTAGGCTAAAGTCATGAATGATCCCAAGTTATAAATAACCAAAACTGCGAGTTAAAGAAAAGTTACGGAATAGAGATGGTCAATTGGTAGCAATAGAAGTAGTTGAAGCACAAAGACTGGGTCACTTTAAAGGTGAGAGATCCGTAAGTTTAAGGAGTAACAAGAATTTCCATTCCTAGAGCTAGGTTGAAGACTTCTAGTTCTCCAACACCACACTAAGGTTCTTAGGCCAAGTTTTATTGAGATTCCTGTTTTTTGTTTTTTCAAAAAAAATATTTATTTGAGAGAGAGAGAGAAATAGTGCAGGTGCATGGAGGTCGGTGGGGACAGAGGAGCGGGTGGAGAGAAAATCTCAAGCAGACTCCCCGCTGAGTGTGGAGCCCAATGCAAGCCTCAGATTCCACAATCCTGAGATTATGACCCAAGCTGAAATCGAGAGTCAGACACTCAATTGACTGAGCCACCCATGTGCCCGGAGACTCCTGTTTTTCTTACTGTCACGGGTGTCCTCCCAACGACTTTCTACTCTCCCTCATTACCTATGATCGAAAGAGCCTAATTAACCACAATCACTGACTATGTCACCTCAGTATTTTAATATACAGCTTAGGGTCAAAAATACAGGGAAGGAAGAAGAAAGACAAAAAGAGGAGTATAAGGATTTGAAACAACTAAAGAGAGAATTTGGTATGTGATGCATCAACTTGGCTACCCATGATCTTTGTGCTGGTACATTCTGGGACTTTGTGCTGTGACTCTCGGCTTACTTGGCCTTTCACCTACCCTTCTCACTACCTGTGGAGAGCCAGCAGCAGAAAGACCAGCCTTCAGACCTACTATAACCTTAGAGAGTTGATATTGTTTCATCAGTAGTTTGAGGAAGAATGAGAGACAGTGAAGAGCTGGAGAAATTAAGAGACTTGCCCAGGATTCCACAACAGGTTTCTAAGAAGGGGGTTCAAATCCCAAGTCTTTACTCTTCATCATCACTAAATGAATGGTCTGAATGTCCATCACTCATGACATACGGCTATGTACTCTAGCTTTCAGATTGTTGATTTAAGATCTCATGGCCTTCCCCAACAAATTTCTAAATCTCTAAAATTTCCTCTGCAGTCCTGATACCAAGTCCCATGTGTGGGTTTTCTTCCCACAACCACAATTCAACCTTCCCCCCACCCACTGCCCCCTTGGTTCAGATGCCAGTTGCAAATCCCAGGTTGTTACCGATGCTTCTGACAAACCGTCTACAGACGGGCTGTTTCAAAGACGTGCTCCTAGAGTTCAATCAATCTGCTAGAACAGCTCATGGAACACAGAGAAACATTTCACCTACTAGATTGCCAATTTATTATAAAAGGATATAACTTGGTAACAGCCAGATGGAAGAGTTGCATACAGCAAAGTATGGGGAAAGGTGCTTCTTCCATGCCTTCTCCAAGGGAGCCACTCTCCCCAAATCTCCACGTGTTCACCAACCTGGGAGCTCTCTGGATCCCATCCTTTTGGATTTTTATGGAGGCTTTATTACATAGGCATGATTGGTTAAATCATTGGCCATTGGTGATTGAACTCAATCTCTAGTCCCCTCCCCTCCCAGGAGATCAAGGGCAGGGTCAGGGCTTGGGGAGCTGGGGGCAGAAAGTTCCAACCCTCTAATCACAGGATTGGCTCCCCTGGCAACCAGCTTCCTTAGGTGACCTAGGGATCTTCCCAAAGTCATTCATTAACATAACAAAACACACCTTCGTGGTTTTCATCACTTAGGAAATTCCAAGGGTTTTAGGAACTCTGTGCCAGGAATGGGGAACCAGACTAAATACATATTTCTTATTATAAATCACAATACCACACTTTCCAAGAATTCATCTGAAACACTGAGAATTGAGAAGTTAACCATTATTTGATCTAGCTTCTCATTCAATATAATAGACTTTCTTTGGTATCCAAGACATGGAATGAAGTGAATCTTGTTTAGGTTAAGCCCAACTCTGTCTCCCTGAATTATCCACCAGTTGGTTTTTGTTCTCTAAAAGAGTAATTTGGCTCATCCTGTGATTGCCTTTCAAGTGCTATTAAATAAAACCCAAGTTTTAATAATAGCTTCTCATTTTTGGTCTTAGGGAGTCACTTCTCACTCTGATTCCCAGTTTCTTTATCTACAAAGTGGCAAGTCCTGCTTTGCTTATGTCATAGGGCTGTTAGGAAAGGGGAAAAAGACAGCAATCATTTATTAAACATCTGCTCCATTCCAGCTTTATACACACTGAGCTAATAATACTCCCAACCCTATAAGGCTGGTGGTATTTCCCATTTGAGCCAGGATGAAGTTGAGACTAAGAAAAATTAAATATTTTGCCCAATTACTACACAGGTAGTAACAGAACCGGGATTTGAATGTAGGTTTGACTGGTGGCAAATCCCTGGGTTTAACCATTTTACTATTTGGCCTGCTGTGAGCTGGTACTTAAGAAAGCACTTAATAAATTTCAATTATTCAAATATTTCAAGTGTTCTTCTTCAGCTTTCTATTCTCTGGGGGAGACATTCTCAATCTTTTCTTTTTAAAGATTTTATTTTTAAGTCATCTGTATACACAATGTGGGGCTCGAATTTACAACCCCAAGATCAAGAGTTGTGTGGTCTACCTACTGAACCAGCCAGGCACCCCTGTTTTTAATTTGATGAGCTATCATTTTCCTATCCCATATCTTTAGATTCCCTATCCTCATGGATTAGCATGTGTTTTTGTTGTTGTTGTTGTTTGTTTGTTTGTTTGAGAACAAGAGGCAGTACTGACTGCCAGGGACCTAATCAGCATGGACATAAGAAAGCATGTTTTTAACGTTCCATTTAAAATGTAGTAACCAGAATAGGAAGTCATGTCTTACTGTGGCTAGAGTTGGAAAACCCAGGTTGCACAAAGCTTCTCCAGTGTATCACATTCATTTTCTTCTAGTTTCTTCATCCAGACAAACTAAAGCTTTGTTATCATCCTACCCAATAGGCTTCAAGGGTCAGACGTGCTGGAACTTGGGTTTGAAATGAATGAGTCAGTGTCGAATCTGATTCTAGCATCTTTAGAAATGTTCCTAAGGAGGTCATTGAAGTGGGGGTATGGTTACAGAGCCCATGACCACTTCCCTTGCGAGGAAAACCACCCAAACCTAACTGTATTTTAAGGCCTCTGAGCCCTAAGAAAGAAGATAGTCTGTGTTTAGTGGCGTGGAGGGGGATAGTCTCTTTTATCTACATAGTTGAATTGTAAAATAAAATTTCCAAACGCTGAGGAGCATGAATGGGGCTAGTGTGATCGCAGTGAGCCCCATCTATTTATCCGGGACTTAGTCTCACGTTGGCTAATGGGCCCCTGAGCTAATGTAGTGATAAGATTAAGAAAAAGAGCGGGTGCCTGGGTGGCTCAGTTGGTTAAGCGACTGCCTTCGGCTCAGGTCATGATCCTGGAGTCCCGGGATCGAGTCCCGCATCGAGTCCCGGGATCGAGTCCCGCATCGAGTCCCGCATCGAGTCCCGGGATCGAGTCCTGCATCGAGTCCCGCATCAGACTCCCTGCTCGGCAGGGAGTCTGCTTCTCCCTCTGACCCTCCCCCCTCTCATGTGCTCTCTCTCATTCTCTCTCTCTCAAATAAATAAATAAAATCTTTAAAAAAAAAGATTAAGAAAAAGAGCAAAACTGTTATTTTTTCAGATGTTGATGCTTTTCAGCTTCTAAATAAGCAGGATGTTGCTAATTTTACTACTTTTTTCTACCTTGTTTTTCCACTTTTGGCCAAAACGAAATGAAAAGATGTTTCCTATTTTGTACAAGGATGATTTTCTCTAGTAACAGTTGTAAGAACAAATTATGTGCAATAACAGCCACCTAATATATTTCTATATTAAAATGTCATCTAAAATGATTTGTTGTGGGTGACATAGGAATAGGGAGACTAAAAACGATGAGTTTTACTGCTGTAAGTTGTTGAACGCTAAAGCAAAGTTAGCTCCTCTGAATAATATCTTAGTTTAAAAGGTGCCTTTCCAGAGAGACCTTTCTTTCTTTTTTTTTTTTTTTTAAAGATTTTATTTATTTATTTGAGAGAGAGGATGAGAGGAGAGAGCACGTGAGAGGGGGGAGGGTCAGAGGGAGAAGCAGACTCCCTGCCAAGCAGGGAGCCCGATGCGGGACTCGATCCCGGGACTCCAGGATCATGACCTGAGCCGAAGGCAGTCGCCCAACCAACTGAGCCACCCAGGCGCCCCAGAGAGACCTTTCTTCAGCTCTGCCTCTGAAGTAACATGCTGGTCACTCTTGCCATGCTCTTCAAGCTTCCTTTCCTTCATTCATGTTTCTATCACGTATTTCCTGGTTTGTATTTGCTTATTGTCTATCTCTCCTCCTCTGGAGTACAAATTCCAGACCGTGCTCTGCATAGAAACCCCCAAATATAGAACACTGCCCATACTAGGCACACAGTATTTGTTGAATGAATAAATCTATTTTGAAAACGTCAAGTTAACCACTTACTCTAGGCTAGCCACCGGTTTTTGTTTTTGCTGTTGTTCCGTCTGTCGAGTTTATTGTATCTTTTCTTCTTCTCCCTGTAGGTTGATTTATTTGTGGATGTAATTCCAGCCAATCCGATTTACTGTAGTATAGTGGAGAGCATTTATCAGACACTTATTAGAGCAGTGTTGGGTGGGAGGTGTATTATAACTAGGTTTTGCTAATACAGTAATAGAGTTTGTGGATTTTTAAAAATGCGGGAGTGGATTTTTTCCCCTTTTAAAAAGTTACATCACTGACTTGTGTTTTCTTGAGTGGGACAGAAAGAGGTGGGCTGCCAGGACTTGTTCCTAACTTTAGGTACCCAAAAGCAAGTCTGTTGAGAAGGAGGACTGAGATCCATTTTTCTAGAAGCAACTTTTGTATCTGCCGTCTGGGGTCGGAGGAGTGAGATCATGTTGGCGCCCTTGTTTCAGCTGAAGACAAACCAAGTGCGGGCCGCACAGAAGACACCATTGGATGCCTGTTAACTCGGTTAGGTTGAAGCATATGGTTCTAGCTGCTGGATGGGTGGCGAACTCAGTGCCAGCTACCCTGAGGGTGCTCAGTAAACATGGGTCATCTTAGCAATAATGCTGGGCCTCCAACCAGACTTGACAGTTTTGTTTTGCGACCTGTATGGGGACAGCAGGAATCACTACTGCAGCTGGGAGGGTTTGGCACAAGATGTTGGGAAAATCATTTCATTTCTTATATTTTGGGGGATGGGAGCTCAAGGGAACAGTGCATTTCCTTATGCCCTGAGAATCGCATGTCCTTAGAAAACGTTTTGGCCTTGACGTGGTCATGAAATATGTTTTTTTTAAGGGAAGAATTTATAGAAAACTCATGTTCATGTTGAATAATTTTAAGATTGATTTGTTATTTATATATTTCTTTCTAGTTGTGGAATTTTTTTTTTTTTTCTTTTTACATTGCTAAAGAAATGGGTTCTGGCTATGAAATCCAAACCCTCACTGGGGACAATAAACTTTACCAAGTCATTTGCCATGACAAAATGGCTTATTAGCCCTACTTAACACAATCCGGGAGTTGGTAAAGATACCTTGATTTGTTCTTGTGAAGGGTTTACTTCTTAAGATACGTCCAAAATACCTAAAATATTAAGGTGCAAATACTTCAATAGCAAATGTACTTACACATCAGAAATAAAAAACATTTAGGAGACCATAGATTTGCCTGTGGGTTCAATAAAAGAGCTGAAGATATTTTGTTTTATAGTCACACATTTTATTACAAATTTCTTTTATTTTGTACCCAATAGAAAAGCAAGTTTGGAATCTATTTACAAGTACTATACATTTACACATATTATGTACAGTTAATGAATTTAAAGAAAATGGGCAGAGAAACACAATATATACGGAAGAATATGCCACTGTACATGGTTTATTATCATCATGGTCCTTAGTGTTACTGAATCTTTATTGTAGTAATAAATACAGTTCTATATTTACACATCTTATAAAACATCTCATAAATGTATTTTTTTTCAATTCCAAGTTAAAACATCTGATCAAAATAAACATGCTTATATAAAAATAAATCTACTTAGCAGTCTTTTGGTTTAGATGTATTGAAGCTAATGTAGTATAATAGAAGTTACAAATTAATCCTTTGACCTTTAGTATTTAATAATTTTGCTTCTTAAAATACTTAACACATGTATTACATACGGAATAAGCAGAGAAGTCATGTTCCTGACATCAAGTGGGTTGGTCCAGAGACAACACAGCTAAAACCAAGCTAAATAAACAGGATATGTTACAAGTCCCTGTTGAGTCCAAAGTGGTTTCAGACATCATTGCTAGAGCTACTAGAGATACACATGTGAGAAGTTATTATGCCAGTGGGTTTCATTTATGTCGGTCTGCATTTGATTATTTCCTTAAGATGCACATTAGTTTGAATCAACTGATAAAACCACCTGCAAAAAGTGTGCACTCACTTGAAAACAAACAAGCAAACAAAAAACACCAAAATCCTCCCAGGTTGCTCACCATCTTTTCTAGGTATATCCATTGCCGGCAATGGACTTTTATTCTGAGTGCTGGACAGCAAGGAGTTAACAAGGAATTAAACAAAGCAAACCTCACTTCTACATGATCGCCTTCATGGCAATTTAAGGATTTAAGTTTATTTTCCTTTCAAAATATTTGTAGACAGTTTTACTTCACTGAGGTGGAACCATCTCATGCTGATACACAAATTCTGGCATCTCTAAAAATGATAGGACTATAACTAAGAAGGCCCCACATTATCCATTCAGGAGGGGATTGGTGACCTGGAAGGATCCTTTGTGAGGAAAGGCAAAGGAGGACTAAAACATCCACATGGTCATTAAAATGCAATCCTACTGGTCACAGCCTTTACTTGGTAATGTAGGCCATTTAAAACCCTATTTTCCAAACACCTCTAACCATCTTTTAAGGGCTTTTCTGGTTTAAAACCTCTTTTGTAAGCAAGTAGTTCTGCCCCTCTCCCCAAATAATTAGATTGGTGAGTTTAAAAAGAATTCAGTTGAAATCATGGGGGATCTTTTTTGAACATTGCAAATCTGCTTTTTAAAATCTGGGCATACCTAAATAGTGTGACTGATCTATCTCTTGTATCTGAATGAATTATAGAAGCAGCATTTAGACTTAGTTTTCACTTTCCAGTATCAATAGGTTTTCCAGCTTTTTCCACGCTGAGAGATATCAAAAACAAAGTTTCCACTTGGCTATTTTTAGTTACTGCTCTGATGTACCCAATCTCATATTTTTGGTTTTTCAATGTTTGCAAACGTTTTCTCCCACAGGTGAATTAGAGACATGGGACAAATGCCACAGATGAAAGGTGACAGCTTTCGGTCACCGGGTAAGCTGGTGGTGACACAGAATTGGAAGGCAGGTCATAGCCGATGCTGGTGCTGGTGAAGGTTACCAAGGCTTGGGTTGAGTCACAGGACTGCTTCTCGACATCATCAGAGTTAATAGACATCAGGCTTGGGTTTCTCGATCTTGTCCAGAAGTGGGTTTGCTTTCCCAGGCTCCCCAGATCTTCCTTAAAATGGGGATTGAAGAGGATGTAGAGAAGGGGATTGAGGCATGCAGGAAGCGGGACAATCACCAGAAGGATAAACTTAATTACTTCGGGACTGATAAAGGTGAGGTTTAGTAAGGAGGAGAAGGACAAGAAAGCCACGGGGCAGTAAAGGATACAGTTGGTGAAGAGCAACAGAGCGATGTGCTTCACCATAGAACAGTCCCACATATTCTCCAGGTCTCCCTTTTCCAAATTGCAGTAGAGCTTGGTGTAGGCAATCGTCATCACCAGGAAGCAAAGGGAGTTGAGCAAGACGAGTGCGACCATGTAGCCTGCGGTGCTGGGATCGCCAAAGGGCAGGGGCAGGCAGAGTGGGGAGGCGCTGAACTCACTGCCCCCCAGCAGCGGAACCGTGGCGATGGTCAAGGCCAGCACCGCACAGAGCAGAATGATCGCTTTCAGACTGGAGAAAGGAGTTTTCCTTTCAAGTTTTGCAGAACATTTCACAGAGAACCCACGCTCCAGGGCTGCCAGGGTAAGCAGGAAAACAGATGATTCCGAAGCAAAAATGGACAAAAACCCGACGACCTGACACCCGACGCCCTGCTCCCACCATGCCCCATGCTGTGCAAAGCGGCCAAAAGTGAACGCATCCACACCAGCCAGCACAGCGCTGGAGACCCCCATGAGCATGTTCACTGCTGCTATTAACCCAATCAACAGTTTTATGGAGGAAATGTACAGAGGGGCTCTGAACACCGTTGAGGTCACCAAGGCATTGCAAGTAAGCGCCAAGACGGCTATGGTCCACACTCCAATTCTGATCAGCCAGCTACCAAACAGGTATTCGCAGAGTTTGAAGGGCCCTAGAAGTCCAAGGAAGAAAGAGACTGGGTATCAAACTAAGGTTTACGACCTCTGCCACATTACCTTTTTGTTTCTCTTATTAGGACACCAAGAGAGAGGCCAATAACAGCCAGAATAACAAACAGTTCCCTTGTGGCATGCTCTACTTTCTTTAACTACTGCGAAAACACGAATACCAGGTGCTCATGTTTTGAAGCTAAACACAGAGAAATGGAGATGGGGAATTTCAATCACTTGATTAAGGTCCCCCAAATACAGCCAGATCTCCTGGGCTTTTCATTATACTTTTTCCAGAATGCTTCAGAAATGTTCTGGAAGCAGAGAAAGAGAATCCCAGGGAAATACTCCATAATATTAGAAGGGGAAGTATGGGTAGTACGAGAGTGCATTTCATGAAAATTTCATCTTAGGTTTATAATGACATTTGATATTTGAGAGCAAGAGAGCTGTCTTTTTTTTTTTTTTTCCCCCCAACTGGCCTATCCTGTTCCTGGGAATGGGACAAACACGTGAAGTCAATATACAGTTTTTTACTTGTCTGTATAAATTATTATTTGCTTTAATCAAATAGCTATTTAGGGAAGATGAAATCTTAAAAAATAAGTGATTACATGAAGCAAGACTGCTGTGTACCAGTTCAGGCTAGATTGCTGATATCACTTAAACAATTGCCTATGAGGGGTGTCTGGGTGGCCCAGTTGGTTAAGTGGATTCTTGGTTTTGGCTCAGGTCATGATCTCAGGGTCGTGGGATGGAGCCCCGAGTCATCAACATGACTCGGCAGGGAGTCTGCTTGAGATTCTTTCCCTCCCCATCTGTTCCTCAAGGACCCCCACCTCCCCCCTTCTGCAGCCCATGCACTCTCCCCCACTCCCCGCTCAAGTAAATAATAAATAAATAAATAAGTAAGTAAATAAATAAAATCTTTTAAAAATTGCATATGCTTCTAACTACATGATTGATTCTTCAGTTTTCATTAATCCGAATCAAGTCTTTCCCAGAAACCTTATCTATGAATGGGGATCAACTCTAGGGAATGGACATTTCTATTTTAAAAGTCCCCATGGGGAGGGATATAAGAGCCTCAGAGGTGGCACAGATTTCGCTTTGAAGGGTCACCAATATGTCACTGATGGCCTCAGAGTCAGTGGTGGGTATGGTGGGGAGGCAGTGCTGAGACCTTTCTCACCTGGGGAAGGTGAGCATTGTGCCGAATGAAGGGCTTTCAGGTCTTCCTCAAAGTCCAGCAGGAAATCTTCAAGATCACGCTCATCTGCAGGAATGAGAAGCCCTGGAATGATGGGTTCTGTCTCTCTTTCCCGGGGACCACCTCCCAGGACCACATCCTCGAGACATGAAAGGTCACAAAGGGAACTGAAGGCCAGACATCTCACTTTTCCCTGGGCTCCGGCTTTGGGCCTTTGGATGTTCTACTCGAGCTACTATATGACGTAGTAATTCCAGATGAACTGGGGGCGAGGGAGGGTAACCCCAGGCTCCGGACCATAACAGCTTAGCTCTCTCCTTCTGTCCTTGTTCCCTGCAGCTCATGATGGCCCCAAATTGCACTGACCTAAATTAGAGAGAGGCTGTGGGCCTCTCTGTCTCCACTTTTCCAACGCTTAGATAGCTAGAGTGCAAAGGTTCTGGGCTGTGTTCTCCGAGCACAAGAAGGAGAATCAGGTATAGTGAGTTTCTATCTTTCCTGGGGAATTCTGCTTAACAAAGGACAAATCAAGTTACTGCTTGGTGCTTAGTTTAGCACCGACTTATGAAATAGGAGTTTTGTGATCTAACATATAGAACAGCTGCCCTTAAACATAAACTCCTTGAAGAACTTTTTCTGGTCCATTGTGTTCCTCCTGGCTCATAGTAGGCGCTCCTAATTTTTTTTTTCCTGCGTGAATAAATATGATAGAAATTAGCATGGATGAAGCCCGAAGAGCAAAAACTAAAGGAAAAACAAGAGCCAGATCCATGCTGTGGCCTCAAACAAAAAAGCCAAGGACTAAAATATCAGCTCCTTAAACCGACGTGTGTGCATGAAGAGAAGGTAAGGTGGGAACATGCAGACAGACGGAATCACACTTGCTTGGGAATCAACAAATCATCAGGGCCCAAAGGGAGAGAAGCCAGTCTGTTTAGACACTGTGCAAACTCGCAAGGTTGGCAGGAAAGGAAAGTGGGGGCTGCCTGGGCACCTCCTCATTACCACAGGTGTGGTTTCAGGTGCGTTGCTGCCTGTTTAAGTAAGTTCGTACTTCAAGGAAAGCCAAGTGCTTTACAGACATTATCTCATTTCGCCTTCCTGACAGATACCTCCATGGGGGGTGGGAGGGGAGAAGGTTTGAGAATTAGTTGGATGAGAAGTGGGATTCTTGAGCCCTTCTGCTGACACATGGAGGCATCTAAATGCCTATACTGTCCGCTCCTCTCAGGCCCTAAGAATAAAAATGGATTTTATCTTCTGGAGGAAACCACTCAGAAACATGTTTTTTTAAAAAAAGGTAGCTGTTGGGGCACCTGGGTGGCTCAGTTGGTTGAGCGACTGCCTTGGGCTCAGGTCATGATCCTGGAGTCCCGGGATCGAGTCCCACATCGGGCTCCCTGCTCGGCAGGGAGTCTGCTTCTCCCTCCGACCCTCCTCCCTCTCATGCTCTATCTCATTCTCTCTCTCAAATAAATAAATAAAATCTTTAAAAAAAAAAAAAGGTAGCTGTAAGGATGAGGTCCTTTTAAAAAAGCTTATTGAAATATTAACATCAATATTAAGAATTACCCCTGAGGATAGTCTATGCTAAAGGGGATCGAATTATAAATAAAAGTATGAAGAAATCACTTACGGAAAAGATGAACTTTGAGAATGAATCCTAAGGGATATTTCTCTTTCTCTGGGAGTCTCTAAGTAGTGGGATTGATTGCCAGCTTGCTGGGGCTGGTTACAGAGGGACTTATCTGGAGTTCGGATGACCCGTTTGATGACTTTTCAAGACCCTTCTAGATACAATTTCATCAGTGTGACATAGCAGGTCTTACCTTGAACTTGAGACATTCCAGCATCTTTCTTATAAAGGTCATCTGTACTGCGGTTGTCCTCTTTATTCCATTGATTAGATATTTTATAGACATTCTCACACACTCCAAATGCACAACACTGGTAAGCATAAGGCATTTCTATAACCCTTTAAATGAACAAAACCAAACAAAAACACATGCTTAAAGACACAGGTTATTAAATATAGTGTTTATCTTCTTTCACTCAATAATTCTGTCTTTGGATCTTAGCCTTAATTGAGAAACTAAAATATTAACTGTGTACAAAGATGTTCATTACTGTGTTATTTATAATAACGATGGAGTTATTAAAAATTATTGCCATGAAATGTTGATAATTGTTGAGGTTGAGTGATGCATATATTATATTATTTTCTCTACTTTGGTGCTCAAAAATTTCCATAATAAAGAAGTTAAAAAATGACTGCTGGGGAAATTGTAGCACCATTAAAAAGTGCTTATAGTATGACATAACGTAAAGTAATGAAAACATGATGTAAATTTGTATAGGTACAGTGGTTCTAACGATTAAAAATACATTGGAAACTAAGTCTGGAAGGAAATAAACTAAAAAGTTGTTTAGGGGGTATTTTTAGATTTTTGCTCTCTTCTACTTTCCAAACTCTCGTTTGGGATTATGGTTTTAAAAGTATGTAAAATGTACTGCGGTTTAAAAATGTGTATATATATGTATATATACACACACATACCTACATGTATGTAGGTATATATAGTCTTTCAAGGGATTTTTTTTAACAGTAATAAGCATAACAGGTCTTAAAGAGCATTACTTCCTTAAAGAAATATAAATTTAGTACATTTTATTAGAACATATAACAAGCTAGATTAATTTAAAAACATAAGCAGGACTACAATAATGTTATCATGTTATTTAATTACATGTCCTAGTTTAGACCCCATGGATCAGTGGTTTTCAAACTCTTCCCGTGAACACTAGTATTCTAGGAGGCATCTTTGAGAAAGAAAGGAAATGTGATCAGGAAGACGCAGTCTCCCACTTCAGGGTTTGTCCTAACAATGCCCCAGGGGTGGAGGACTTGAGGGCATGAAATGCAATTCAAAAGAGTCCCATGACCTCATAAATTTCGAAAACTACTATAACACGTCTATTACTTTGCATGACCACAAATGTATCTTATTAGTTTTAATGACAAACTCACTTGAGTTCTGGAAAGTTTTCAGATGATATCAAGCTCTGTAAGGCATGATTTCCTGTTAATTTTAAGTGAGTTAAACCATGTAACCCTGTTACAGGAAGAGACGACAGGCGGTTGGAGGATAGGTCCCTGCAAAACATCAAACAACAATTGGCTTTTGGTCTGTGTTAGCAGAAAGCATCGGTGTTAAAAAAAAGAAGCACAACCTAAAGATTATTAAACTGCTCCATAAGAACTTCTAAGCAGGGTCCATACCCTTCATGGTAAAAATAAACATTTTGGGTTTAGCTCCTGATAATTTTTCGATTTAAAATCAGAATTGCAGAGGGGACGTGTTTCAATCACATTCAAATTGTAGCTTCTACGTTCGGCTTCATTTTGCCAGGTGGGGACATCGCAAATCAGTGGAAGGTGCTACACCTAATTTGAAAAGTGATGTTGAGTGGATTAAGTTGGGCGGGGGCGGAAGGCATAAGAAGCGGAGGGGGCTGGGAAGCGGCACAGGAAAGTTTTCTCTTAGTCAGGATGGCAAATATGAAATGAAAAGGCTTTGGAACCGAAATGACATCTTATTCCACCCCACCTGATTGCTCAGCGAAAATGGAAAATTTCACCTCAATAACCAGAACCAGCTGTCACCCAGATCTTCAATTAAACACGTCAGGGCCCCTGTGGCCTTGGAGGGCGGGGTGGGGAGGGTAGGCGGGGTGAGGGGGCTCCTCTCTGGTCTGACTCAGCTCCAGTGTGGACAGCACTGAGGGCCAGGCAATCTGTGCACGGCGGCCTCTTCCGCAAAACCGACATTTTTGATGAATTTAGGTGGCCCCCCAATTATTTAAAATATGCCATAAACAAATCACGAAATACTCACAGCTTTCTTAGAGATGGCAAAGTGGAAAATGCATTGGGATGAATGATGGCAATTTTGTTCCAGGCTAAATTCCTATTTAAAAAAAAAATAAGGCAAGTGAGAGGATTATATACTTAAAAAAGATTGTGTGAAGTTTTACCATATATATTCATTCTTCTGCCAAAATTTAACTTCATTCAGGACAAAACAATGAGCTTATCAAATCAGCCTTCAGATAAAGATATTAGTAGTATAAATGACTAAAGAGGGAACTTTAAATCAACCTTGTTTTAAGTCAACCCAGGAAGAATCATGCAAGTGAATATTTTAGATTTTACTGTTTGCTAAAAAGTTCACTGAAACATGGTTGTGAGGTTTTATGAGGGCATTTCTGAGATGAGTGGGGGTGGAGGAGGAGTAAGAGACAGGACCTTCCGAGGGTCTTCCTCTGACAAGCAAGTAAATTCGAAGTGGATAAAATGTCCTAGATCTGTAATGAAACTCAGCAACGCTTTGTGTACGTTGTCAAGTATGTCAGCCCGCGAGAGAAACACCGAGAAGTATTTTTAAAAAATTCCCAGTAAAGGAGATGCACATTGGAATTCTTAACTGCAAAATAAATAAAAAGGGGGCTAATATGTAGGAAATAAAATCCTTTAGTAACGAAAAAAAACCCGTACAGTTTATGGAGAAATAAAGTTCATTCTCACACACACACACACACACACACACACACACACTGAAATGTAGATGATTCAGCAGGAATAAGAACTTCCACATTTCAAAAAAGGAAAAATGAACTTATAATTGGTCTTTTTAAAATGCCTAACTAACAAGTGTAACAAAAGTGTAGACATCTGAGGAAATTGAAAGTGATCGCAGTCAACTTTTCTCTAGCACAGATGAGTGATTTATTTATGATACTGGGCCTCTTGAGTTACCTTGGATAAATGGTCTTCACAGAACATTTATATTCTCATTTGAAAGGCTCCCTAAACTGGATGAAACTGGAAGGCTTTTTATTTTGATCCATCACGGATCCCAGAACAGAAAACAGTTTTGGTGAACAAGGGGAGGAAATGGCAGGGAAGGGGTGGGGAAGCTCAAAATGGGGGTTGGGGAATTAAGCGAGGAGCCTGGCTTCTGCTGAGCTGCTCCTAAAGTCTCTGCCCAGTGAGGGGAGCAGGTCCTACCATCTGTCAAAGTCTTTCGTGGCTTCAGGGGGAACATGGGTGCCCCCGGTGAGCCTCACAGAGCGGAATACCAGGAATGTAGGCCAAGTCCTGCCATGGGGCTTTATAGCAATTTGACTGGTTTTCGAGTAAATATGGGAGAATTTGTATGTGCAAAGGACCGTAATTCCTCTCCTGTTTGTACACCTGTGTGCTGGAATCCTCCCGGCAGCCCCCTGAGGAGCCATTTCCGCTCTCCGGCCATTTTCAGTGCCTGGGGCTGACCTTGCAGGTGGCATACCCATGGCTCCCTACTGTTCGCAGTCGGATTCCTAGTGGAAGCTCAGGAGAGAGAACTTGGGCACTGGTGCTCCTTCTCTCCTTTGGAGTCTTGTGTCTGGCGGCAAATGCACACCTTCTCGACCACGGCCTCCCTTCTCTGTGCCTGTGTCTCTGTGGCCTCAGCCTCGGCCATGTTGTTGGTTTCTGCACACCCGTCCCTCGCTTGCTCTCATAACCGTCAGCACAACTCTGAGAGGTAGGTGTTATCCGTAGCCCCATTTTACCGGCGAGGAGTGAAACACAGGGTACTAAGTGACTTGCTCCAAGTCATAGAATAATCTCAGGAGCTGGGCTTCAGACTCGAGCTGACTGACATCAGAGTCCCTGATCTTTTGCTCAGAACACATTCGACATGCTTAAGTAAATAATGAGAGAGCCACCGTCGTAGACCCTGGGGGATACGACGATGAAAACGTTCTTGTCATTTTGGGGTAGGGCACCGTGTACACATGGCAGTGCTGAGAGCTGTGTCCTGTGTCCGAGTGCAAAGGGCATCAGAGTGGCCTGGGCTCATGGCAGGAGGTCTTGTTCCTACCAGGGCACAGGCAGGGGGCAAGTCAAGAAGGGGGAGGAATCCGATGGGCAGCAGGAACAGGGGAGCTAGCCACCATGTGTCAGAGGCCTGGGGATGTGTGGGTGAGCGTCAGGAGGTCGTACGAGGAGGTTGGAGTCAGATTTTGAAAGGCAGTGCTGGGAAGACTAGTCTCTATCTTGAAGACATTAGGGGACTAACGAGATTCTTGCACCAGGGAAGCACCATAATTAGATTTCTATTTGAGAAAGATTCTCTTCACAGACTGAGTGGGGACCGATGGCGGAAAGACTGGTGGAGATCCAGGGGAGCCATCCTGTGGGCCTGTGGCAGAAAAGTGGATGAACTGGAGGTGGCAGAGTTTAGTGGGGTCTAAGGGGCAGGAGGAGTTCAGGGAGACTTGGACATGGAGCCTTCAGGGTCTGCGTCCCATTCTTCTGGTGTCATTAGAGGTCAACCTTTTATTTCGTATGTATATGAAAAAAAAATTTTTTTTGGTGAGAACATTTAAGTGCTACTATATTAGCAAATTTCAATGACATAATAGAGTGTTATCAACTATATCAGCCTTTTAAGATGGAACTGACTTTTGGAAACAGCCAGAACTCCAACTGGGTGAAAAAGGCAGGTAATGAGATAGGCAATGTATATTTGTTTGACATTTATTAAGAAAAGTAGAAGAATTTCACAAGCTGATACCAAAAGTAAGAAACGGGCAACATATTTAAATTCAGAACAAGATAGTTTTCAAGGTAAATTTTTAGGAGAAGATGATTCTTAAGGGTAAATTTAAAATGTTTTGAGGAATGGTATTATTTTACAAGGATATAGTCTCTTAAGTATTAAGAAAAACTTTAGGGGGGGCACGTGGGTGGCTCAGTCGGTTAAGCACCGATGCTTGATATTGGCTGAGGTCATGATCTCAGGGCCGTGACATTGAGCCCTGTGTCGGGCTCTACACTCAGTGGGGAGTCTGCTTGAGACTCTCTCTCCCTCTCCCTCTGCCCCTCCCTCTCACAAATAAATAAATAAATCTTAAAAAAAAAAACAAACCTTAGGAAAAAAAGGATTTTTAACAAAATATACCAGAGTTTAAACATTACATATTGTCATTATTCATCAAAATTACATTGAAATTCAGTTTCAAGATGAAAAAGATCTGTCACAGAAAACAACCTGTTACTGAGTTATTTTTTTAACTTATGGTTAAAATATGGTGTTTTCAATTATAAAATGGAATTAGATACCATATTTACAATTCGACAGAAGCATTTTCCAGGGCATCTGTGCTCAAACCTTAGTGTACTTGTTAAAATGCAGATTGTTATTGCACCTCAGAGATTCTAACTCATGAGGCAGGTGAGGACCTGAAGCCAGCATTCTTTACAGTGGCCCCCAGATGATTCGCAAGTACTTTGAGACACGTACTGAGAACTGTTTACCCAGGAAAAATGAACAGGCAGGAAGAATTGTGTGGTCATCCCATTTCTGTGTGGAAAACGATCCCTACCAATTCCAGGCTGCTGACAGAAATGCGTTTCGTAGGCAAGGCAACAGCTTGGCCTCCTTCTTCTTTATCCAAGTTCCATGTCAGAGAGCAGACTGCCAATTTACTACTTTTGAATATATTCCCAAAAATTATCATGAGCAAGAGATTTGCCTTTTCATAGCAAAAGTAGGCACAAAGGTCCAACAATACCCGTATACAGCAGAAAGAAAATATGAGGGAAGTAGTGCTGTGTTGGGGAAGGTGCTTGGAGGCAGTACTCACAGGGCTCGGAGACCAAGCAGCTGCTGGAATGTGTCAACTTTAATTTCATAGATTTCATTATGTCGCAGGTCTCTGAAACGACAGAGTTCCAAAGATTGATTTCAAAGTCACTGGTTTCAAAGATTAGTCTTCAGAGAACTTGTACAGAGGGATGACCTGTCCCCAATCAAAGGAACACATGAAGTGTGACTATCAAGTGACCGATTTAAAAATTTTTGTTTTGCTTAAAGAAGAACATTCCAGTTTATACACGTAGGTGTTGCCTCTCTTACGAAGCGATGAGTTCTTTTGGGTGGGCAAAAAATGCCAGCCTCGTTCAATCACTTGGTGCCTGGCTCTGCCTTCTGAGCCCTTCTAGAATTCTTGGAAGGTCTTCAAGAGCATCAAACCATTACCTTTTAAAGACAGATTTGCCTTTCTTTTTCTCTCTTAATCGCCCAAAGGCATTCAGAGAAAAACGAAATGGGAGAAGATAGATGGTTAATATCTTTTTGATCAAAACCTAAGTATGACTTTAAAGCAATAAGGCTCATGTTTTGTGGAGGCAATTTTAAGAAAGGAATGTTAAAATGTTTCCTGCCTAAGAAGCATCAATGGCATCTCGAATATGACGAATAGGACACCTCCTCTAAAGATGGCTGTTGTGAAACAAACACCCAACGAACCCAAGTCCCTCCCATATTTACAAATAATACCGCTCATTGGAGATGTAAGCTTAGAAAAATCCCAAAGCTCCAATAGCACCAAAGTTCTATTATAACACCAAACTTGGGGTGGAAAGAGCATAATAAATGCTTTACTTACAGTACAATGCATGGTAAAATAATATTATCTATGTTTCCCAACTTAATAGCCATCCTACACAGTCACACCTTGTGTGTATGAGAAGGGAAAGCACCAAATGTCTCCCTAGTGAAATCACGGGGGCAAGCAAACCAATGACCCCTGGATATGTGAGTTTTGGCTCTTGTTTTTTGTTAAGTGACTTAGAGACTCTTATAGACATACATTTTCTGAAGCTTTTGGCAGACTGAGAAACTGGGTAAATCTTCTAGCAGGTTGTAAGATAGATCTCTGGAAAACAGAAGGTACAAAAGGGAAAATCTGTTACATATTAATCCTAAGGAAACATGCTTTGCTCTCCTTTCCCCTCCAAAATGATATATCTTCCAAAGGCAGACTCTGAATGTTTCCCCAGCCCTGACATGGAGCAGGTAGTCATAGGCATTATTGGATTAAGCACAGATCCAAACGTTTACTGAAATGTAGCTGTTGTACTTCTTTAATTGATTTAAATAATTTACTTAACGAATTTATTTATATTTTGTTAGTGATGATCTACAATGTTCTAGCTATTATCTTACTGAAATGAGTACAAATTAAATTAAATAATTGTGCCTCTCTAAGAGCTGCTATATCTCTACAGCTAAGAGAGTCATTGTTGGTTCTTTTCTAATCAACTAAAAAAAAAAAAAAACCAACAACACTTCAAAACATAGCACTAACTTTGAAATCAATCGCTGCAAGGGGGAAAAAATCTAAGAAAGTCTTCAGCCAAAACTCAACAAATTACAGAATAACAAAAACATCTGGACATATTTATAGTATAATATAACTAATCTAAAGCAAGCCATGGTAATTTGCAGAAAGCTTAAAAAAAGAAAGCTGGTAGATAAAGTAACATAGATACTTAAAAAAAATCTTGTCTCATGTTTAAAAAGTTATCAGTTAATCAACTAACACACTTTCATGCCTGATTCTAATTCTTAAAACCAGATCACCACTACGCAACTGAAAAATCCATACTGTTTTCTAAGAGGCTTTTAAATTATTTTGTTCTTATAATTGAGCACTCCATTCTACATTTACTGAATGAATGGAATTTATATAGAAAGACAGTTCGTTTACTACACATAAATAATGCAGATGAAGCTGTTTGCAAACACAAATTTGTAGTTTATACTAGAGGTTTGAAAGACCAAACCAAACAAAAAACTGAAAAAACCCCAAACCATACCCCACACCAAGTACTTACTAAATACACCTGGTCAACAAAATGGTGTATATTTTTAAAAAATAGTGACTGTGATAAAATGGACATACATATCATCACAGCTGATAGTAATTTGGTTCACTCGTTTTCACAGACTGCAAGGGGACAAATCCTTCCTGTGTACCAGGTAGAGGATACAGAAAACCTTCTTCGACAGAAAGACATAGTGTCACCTTCTGCCTACTTTCTACCTAATGATTTTCATGGCTAATACTCATCAAGCGCTTCTTAAATATAGACACCATGTTTACAGCTTTACCTAAATTGTTTCATTTAATCCTTGTGGTCACCTTATGAGGAAGACACTGATTATCACCATACAATGTGAAATAATTTGCCTAAGATCACCAGCTACTTAGTGGGGAAAGCCCCATACAGTCAAGTGATTCCCAGGGAGGTGAAAAGACTTGGGGACAATTTCAACAGTGACGTTTCCTCATGTAACAGGCACTCAGTGGATGATTCAGTCAGAGGAGGAGAGCTCACAGATCTGTGCTTCCGGAACATAAAGTAGATTGTAGTAGAGGTCAGGACCCTGAGTTCTACTCTCAACTTCAACCGATTCTTCAACTTGATCGAAACACTGGCCAAAGCATTAGGCCTTTTTTTCCGTTCTCTCCTTTAAGGAGGAGATACCCGTTCTGCTGATCTTGCAGGGTGTTGTGAAGAACAAATCAAAATTATAGGTTGAAGTGCTTTGAAACTGACAAGCTCCTGTGGTTAGTGTATTTGTGTTCTTTCAGACCTTTCAAGTTTCAAATGGAGGAAAGAAGAGCTTGAAGAAAGAATAATGGTCTAAGGGAAGTGAGAAAGAAGTTGGTAAGAGCTAACACTGCCTGAGAGTTTACAACGTTCCAGGTGCGGGTATAAGCGTTTGACATGTAGTAACTCACTTAATCCTCATGAGGATCCTCTGGAGGAAGTGGCTGTTTCTCTATTTTATAGATTGGGAGATGGAGCCCCAGAAGGGATAAATAACTTGCTCAAGAAATCTTGCTGGTATATAGGGAGACTGGATTTGAACCAGAAAAACAGACCCAGAGCCTTTGCTCTTAACCAATTTGCCAGTCAACCTCCATTTATGCAGTTCTAGCCCTGGGTGGTTTGCCATTTGCGATGTGACGTAGTGGAGACAGAGGCAGTTTAAATAGAGGCTTCTTACGTACTAGTTACGGCGCGTGAAATCCTAGTCATGTCATCAGGCCAGTTTCCTCGAGAAATGAAGATAATTACACCGGGGTGTGGTAGGCGGAATTCTAAGATGGCCCCTAAGATTTCCACCACCTGGTACACACGCACTTTCTCCTGCTTATCCAATCAAACTGCCTGTATTTGAATGTGGACTCTGCTACTTTCCTGCAGTGTGACTTCAACAAATGTACCCCACTTCCCTAATTCTCAGTTTCCTTGTCTGTTTCTGCACCTCAGCGGGCGATGTGGGGTGAAGAAGCAGACTTACTCCATATTCCCTCCCTCTATACATGAATGACTGACTCCAAGCCTGTCCCATGGTGTTCATACAACCCCATATCACTGAACAACGGAAGTCTGAAGTGGTTAGGGGGCCGGGGCTGGGGGAAGGCAGCATCATTGTGGCAGACATTCCCACTCTTCCACTTAACATTTGTAGTGCTGCTACGAGGTGAAGCCTGTGGTGGAATGACAGGCATTCAACTGACACAGATGTCTCCCGTGTGAGAACAGAGCCATGACGGGAGACTAAGGGTCCATTCATTAGGTCTCCACAATGCACGAGAGGACGATAATAGGGTTGGGAGTTGAGGGAGAAGGTTGCAAATGGAAGGTCAAAACAAGGCTCTTCAGATTCCTATAAACTACTTTTCAGTAAGGGAAAGGCGGAGGAAAAAAAAAAGCTCCGAGTCACCAGAAATCACATATGCAAGCTGTTTAACCGCTTGTTGGCAACATTACAACATGGCCCCCACAACTCTACGGGAAGAATGTTTGGTCGCCTTTATTAAGGCTTGTATGGGTCTGATAACTTACTTTTTAATTTTGGCATCCATATTGGGGTTTTGAGCCATTATGTAATTTTTTTCTGTTCTGCACAGCCTCGAGAGGGGGAAATGAAGTTATGGAGGCTTGTTCATAGCCCTTTTCTGACAGGAAACGTGTGCCAGTTGAAACTCTAATGGGAGACTGATGGGACCTTGGGAACCAAGGGTGTGCCACCACCATTACCGGGGTCACATCAGAGAGCCACTTCCTCGGCCCACAGGGGCGAGGGAGCACCGACCTCCTGGAGCCCTCAAGGAAAGAACTTTCTCCCCTTTTCAAGGATTATTGAAAGAGCGCCTGCCATTTCGCTCCTAAATGGAAGTTGCCTGTTTACACAATGTCACTGCCTTCCTGATACGCACAGCACTTGCAGATTAGGTAACTGATCACAGGCGGTTTGAGGAAGAGATGAGATCTGGGCTCCAGTTAAAGTCCTGTTGAAACACAAACCAGACATAATTCTTTTATTCAGGCATCGCACAGTGACATATTTTTATTCACTGACTTTAAGATTGGTCAGGCTTCAAGGGCAGTGCACGTTCTGGGCAAAGTCAAGAGCCTATTCAAGTACTTACAGACTCTCCAGGCTCGCAGTTCCAGTTAAATCAGGAAATTCAGTTATTTGTGAGGCGCCATTCAGAGTCCTAAAAGGAGGGGTACATGAGTACTATTGGAAGAAGATTCCAGAAAGGGGTAATTTTAGTGCCATTTTCAAAGCACTTTAACTTAAAATATTCACTTGGTTTTTACAGTACCCTGCAAGGGGAAAGCGATCTGTAAGAGAAAAACCTACAGCGTTCTTAGTTCAGGTAAATGTTGAAAAGCGGATCTTCCAACAAGCTGGATGGGGTTGTCATAGAAATGTCTGAAAAAAATCCAAACACCAATGTCTTAGTATAAAAGTTGAACGACAAATGAATACCTGTTCAAAATTTTGACGAATATATTAAATGTATGTAATCTTGATTGTACTCTATTGTATAACATTCCTGGTTACTTGGTAAAACACAAGTGTTTTAACTCATGAGGAGACTTTTTTTTTTTAAGAATTTATTTATTTATTTGACAGAGAGAGTGAGAGAGCACAAGCAGGGGGGGCGGCAGGCAGAGGGAGAAGCAGGCTCCCCGCTGAGCAGGGAGCCTGACGTGGGACTCGGACCCTGGGACTCCGGGATCATGACCTGAGCCGAAGGCAGATGCCCAACCGACTGAGCCACCCAGGCATCCCATGAGGAGATTTTTGGTAAGAAATCCATACTATATAAAAATGAAAGTTTCTGACAGCAAGGCAGATATGTGATAGGTACTAAAGAGAAAAGCAAGTGAACAGACTGCAGGTATACCTAAAAATCTTCCTCTGCCTCCAACATCTGTGGCATATCCGTTAAGTGGCAAGAAGGTAATTCAAGGTGCTGGCAATTGTATCATTAAATAAAGAAAGATGCATTTCTACAGATTCACATGAAGGTTAGATCCTCGGGTCAAATCTTATCATAACATACACAAAGGACTCTTCAAAGTATTTGAGAGGAAATTTGCTCTTCTGCTTTTTTGGCAACATTAGATTTCTAAAAAATTAATTACTGCTTTAAAAGGTGAGGCATTATTAGAACTTAAATATTTTGTTTTACAGATGTCTTCAGTAATGGTATTTGAACTGTCTGGTCAATGAAGCCCTACAAATAGGTCTTAGTGGAGAAGACATCCTAGTTCAATGAAATTCAACAAATATTTATTGGTGTCTACTGTGCTCAATGTATGGGGGAATTTACAGACTGAGTCATTAAGGAAAGCCATCATTAAGTATCTACCATGTGCCTGACATTATGCTAGATTCTGGGAGTTTGAAGAAGATGGCTAAAATGTCCCTGCCCTAAAGAAGCTTGGAATCAGTTGGGATAGAACAAATAAGTAGCAGCATAACACTTTCTGGTTGATGAAGCACTTTCACGTATATAGTTCAATTGATCCACTCAACAACTTTATAAGAACCAGAGCACAGATGCTTAGATATTATTTATTTCATTTATGGAGGAGGAAACTAAGGCTCAGATACTTTGGCAAGTTCAGTACCTCCCAGAGCTTTACTTTTCTCATTTGTTAAACTGGGATAATAAATCTGAGTTGTAGGGTTTGTGTACAGATTAAAAGAGCTCATGCTTGTGTAACATCTGGCGGACCTGGGTTAGAGTTGTCACCCAACAAACCTACGTCCCCTTCTGTCCTCCTGCCCTCTTCCCTTGGATTAGATCATCGATAAGAGAAAAAGCTAGAGCTAGAATATAGGTCTTATGATTAAAAAATGGAATTTTTCTGGGTGCCTGGGTGGCTCAGTTGGTTAAGCGACTGACTTCGGCTCAGGTCATGATCCTGGAGTCCCGGGATCGAGTCCCGCATCGGGCTCCCTGCTCGGCGGGGAGTCTGCTTCTCCCTCTGACCCTCTTCCCTCTCGTACCCTCTGTCTCTCATTCTCTCTCTCTCAAATAAATAAATAATATCTTAAAAAAATGGAATTTTTCTCATAATATCACACTGTCCCTTATCTATATCATATGCTTGTATGTATATAATTATGGTCACATACATATATGTACGTATGTACACTGGGCAGATATGAATGAATACCCATGCTTATGTACGTAAGTTGCACAAATAAGGAGTTATAGGGTTCTCGGGAAGGAGTTTTCTTGTGAGATCAAGAAAAACTTCATGTAATGTCATTTGAAACGGGCCCTGGGAGACAGAATGTCAATAAGCATGGTGAGGGGATGGACTCATAGGAGCAAGGAAATAAAGAGTTTTGTTCTATGGATACAGCTTTGTCGATCTGGGTTATGCCATCGGGTAATTGAGGAGAGCTGTGGAGAGCTGGTCAGGCGATGAGACAAGAGACGGTCCTGAATCTCCGGATGTTCCACAGTAAGAGGGTGACAAGATGGATGCTGTGCCTCCATCCTCCTGTGCTGGAGGCAGGGGGATGAGCCTTAGATCGGCAAGAACTTTGAGATGGTGGCTAGCAGAGGCTGGTGGCAGTGGGTCTGAGAAGTTACGCAGAGGATGGGGACCTCAGAGGGAGAAATGGAGACCGCGTAGCCAATGGGACAGGGAAGCATTCACAGAAACTGGGAATTGGGGATCTGCCAGGGGGTGGCAGTGACTGATGAGAGAGAAACAGGCAGAAGCAAGGTGAGGAGAGTTTCAGGGAGAAAATAGTGAACGCCATAAAATACTGGATAGAAGCACTAATAAATTTTGGGGGCTGTTAGTCCTTTCTCAAGTGGTATCAGCATATCAAAAGAGTGATTAAAAAACAAACAAACAAAACTCAGTCTTGTGGCGCTAAGGAAAAAGAAGCAAAGGCAATGAAATTTGCCAACTTTTAATATGTAAATACTCTCTAATGAGGCCTAATGTTTATTGGCAATAAACTTTAAAACCCTTAGTTTGCCAACATACTGTCAGACTATTTCAGAAACGATGAATGGGATTTATTTTTTTTTTTCACTTGTCAGGGCTAATTGGGATTCCAGCTCATTTGTGACAGATACTACACGGTTCCAGAAAGCCTCTTAATCAAATTGGCACAGGATGAATAACTGCCAAGAAATGCCCCTAGAGTCATGTTCAACAGTTGTCCTTTCTCTCCTCCTGCTGATTCGAGACACCTCCGGCATGATCTCAGGCCAGTACTATGCCCCAGTTTGCCAGGTCTTTTAACGAAGAACCATCCTAACACCTGTTTTCATCTTCCCGTGCATCTACACGTGATTGATCTTCTGTCTGTGCTAAATGTGAAACATATAACTAACTATATGCTGTAGTTGTAACTCTATTTTGTGCTTTTATGGTATATAAACCCTCATATACATCTTTTTAGAATATATTCACCTTTCTAGAATTACAACCGAGCTTGTAATTGTATAAATGTGACTCGATGCTTGGGCTTGATAACAAATAGATACAGAAACCTCGCATAAAACAGTATCCCCCCAATGCCCACAATCAATGGAGTCTATTGCTGTAAAGGACTCCTATTATAATAATTTATAGGGGCACCTGGGTGGCACAGTCAGTTCAGCATCTGACTCTTAGATTCAGCTCAGGTTGTGATCTCAGGGTCTTGAGATCAAGCCCTTTATCAGGCTCTGCACTCAGCACGGAGTCTGCTTGAGTTCCTCTCTCCCTCTTCCTTTGCCCCTCTCCCCCTGCATGAGCACTCTGTCTCTCACTGAAATAAATAAATCTTTAAAAGAAAATTTGTATTTCTAGTATACCTGGGTTCAAGTTCTGAATGACTAGGTGACCTTAATAATGATTCTCTAAAAATCAGTTTTATTCCTTAGAAAATAGAGATAAGTGAAAGTATGTCACAAGATTACTGTGAAGTGAGTCAAGGCCTCTGAAGATATGAAGCATAATGCAATGCACACCTGAGGTCCTAGAAAAAAAGAATCTTTTATGTTATTTCAGCATTCAGCTGAAACCTGGCAAAACATCTCTATAGATGCTTCTCTGTAAAGAATCTTATATTGACAAAGACGAAACTTGGGAATATATAGGACATTCATTTTATTATATTTAAAATTGCAATATGTATTATATCTCAGGATGGAAAAATCAAAAAGAACTACGGCCACTTACATTGTAATAAGAGAAGGATTGCCTACAAATGCTTTCTCGGGTATTGACTTGATATTGTTGCTGTGAAATCCTCTAGAAAGAGAGGGAAACATTTCTTTAAGAAAATAACCTGCAGGGTAACATTATATAATAGTACTCTCTTCCTGTGGCAGTGATCAGCGTCTTTGATAGCTAGAGGATAAGGTTAAATTCCTCTATGCATTTTGAAGCTTATGTGCTCCCTAGGAGAAAAAGAAATCACAAGCTGTCCTCTTGAAAGAGGAATAAAGAAATCGAAAGGAACAGTTGTGCTTTACGGAAGCTTACAACCTAATGTTATAAAAAGAAAATCCATCTGTTCATATCCAGTAGAAAACCACTGTATAACAAGCAGACACAGAGGGAACCATCTTTGGAGAGAGGATTATGATCACTTCTCCTGACCCCGTTTGAAGCGAGGAGAAGAGAAAATTGACTTAAGCTGCTGTGAAGTAGAGATTTAAGTAAGCTCCTTATGAGGACAAGATTTCCTGAGCTGAAGGAAGGTACTCAGTGAGTCTGTAATAACAAACCGATTCTCCTCTGCCGGGTGCTAGTGTTGTCTGAATGGCAGAGGGGCAGAGTCAATGCTCTTTGGGTTCCACGGGCCGGCGACTGGCTGAGGCGCCTTTGGGCTGCCTGACCATAGACCATGAGGATTTCCCAGTTGAGCCACACGTGGGGGCTCCTGAGGGAGAACCCTCCTAAAGTCTTTTGCTTCCAAACAAGCCCTGTTGTCTACCTCCTTTAGCTGTGTCTCTCATTTCTCTTGGCCAAGAGAATAGGCTCTACGTTTATTGTCCTTTCCAAGTCTTGGAACATTCCTTACATACATTATTCATATTTTTAGGTACAAAGAAAAGCTAATTGAATTATAGCATATAAAAGACAATGGATGCAACCTAAGAACTGAAAGTCAGCTTTACTTTAGTAAAATGGTGGGTTTTTAAAAATTAAATATGATTCATGAAGTATTTGAAGAATATGAGATGATGTATGTGAAAACATCTAGCACGGTACTAGGCACATGCATTTTGTTTCTCTAATCCTAGACTTAAATGACCTAGAAAAGTTTGTTCTTCAAAATGCTCAGCAAATAACTGAATTCTGTGACAATTCTCTATAAATGTATGAAGTGTGTAGATGTTGGGGGAATATAGCTTAGGAAAAGAGAACTTAGAGAACTATGTATATATATTTTTTCTAATATACATACTTTAGGGAAATCCATTCTAAATTTAAAAAAGATTATCTAATGTTTGCTGGAGATAGACTAAATGAAAATATGTTTCAAGTGTACTCAGCCATTATTTATACAAACTTTAAAAATTTTCTAGTCAGTCATACTAGGTACAATAGTCAAATATATTTTAAAGTGAATTCACAAAGAAGAGAGTTCTCCCATTAAATTTGTCCTAAATACTTACAGTTCTTTAAGGTTGGAGAGTGTCCTGATGGCAGTGGGGAATTCATCAAGATTATTATAATTTAAATCTCTGAAAAGAAGTAAATAGTATTTTCAGTTTTTTATTTGAAAATTCCTATATACATTTACAGAGAAAGTGAACACCCTATTGCAATGGGTCAGGATCACTGATCAAAATCCTCCTTCCTTCTCTTCATGGAGAGAGATATTCTTGGCTTGCTGTCCACCATCATTCCACCAGTCTCTGCATTAACGTGGTCATTAGACTGCTCGTGAGAAATGTCAGAGTCAAGTCTCAATGGCACTGAGGTATTTAAAAATGGTGGTGGGGGGGGTGGCGGTACATACAGCCATGTTAATGTCCAAGTAGGAGGGATACTTGGCTAGGTTGTTGGTGGCTTGACCATGTAGCTCTTCACCTGAACCTGGCTCACCATGCTGTCAGCTGGTGTGTGTGTTCCTCCTGGCTCCTGAATCACATCTCCTCTCTTGTTCCCACCTTCACACTCTGATGTTTCCTTCTGCTTTTCAGAGTCTTGCCTGAGAGGACATCTTGGAGAGTTGCTTCATCCCTGACTCCTGTAGAGTGCCTGTGATTCTCCCAGCCTGAGGTCCAGGATGACAGTCTGCTTCTGGAGAGGTGTATGTGGTACTGGGCACTCTCAGGAAGGGCCTCAGGTCTAGAATTTCTTCAGGGTCACAAATAAAGACTCAGACCAGAAGTATGTTTTCCTCGGTCTGTGAGGCAAAGCTCTACATTATCCTTCATGCCCAGAGATGGCATGGCCAAACAATTTCAACTCATTAATTTCTCTATCTGTTATGACACAAATGCCTTTTCAATTCCATTACTCAGACTAACTCCACCTTATATCTACAACTTCGTATGAAAAAGTAATTGCCTCCTAGTCTCGGGCAATGGCAGATTTCCCAGATGATGCAGAAAACTCTTTTGGTCAGGCAATCAGATGTGGTTAGATCTTCCTCTATGGAGAAGAATTGCTTTTTAATTTTGAGAGAGATAATATGACCGAGTTAAACATGAATCAAGATTCCTACTTGTCTGGCACAAACCATCCTTAAGCTATACTGCAGGCAGGAAACTCATGTCTTTTGTGGACATAAATTTTCTTCCTGTTTGTAAATCTCTCCAGATGCTCTGTTTTGATTAAATGGAGGATTGGGTCCTTATAAATTACTTGGGTTTCTAGTGAGGCAGAGGAAGAGGTTGGGAGTAACCAATTTACTGATCCTCTGTAGCCCTGGGCAAGGCGAAAGGAGGGTGGGGGACAATGAGACTCATATGAATTTGCCCTAAAATATTTGACTCTATGGTATTTACATGAAATCCTGGGTTCTCATCTCAAACATGGGGTGGGGGGGAAAGAAAGCCTATTTATGGAAATACCCATCAAAGCCAATATTGTTTTTTGTTCCTCTTGTGTTGGAAAGGACTGGAAGGTGCTTTCCATTACTAAGATCCCAAGCCCAGCCCTGTGTAGATAAGGGAGAAGTTCTAATTTTTCCAAGCACCTCATAAGAATGGTTTGCCTGTGCCTTTAAGTTGACTTCAAAGTTCTGCCTGGAGAAGTTCATCTTTGGCATCTCCTTATGAGGACGATGCCTCCCTTCTACGAGGAAACACAGAGTGACGTAAGTAACCCAGGAAGGAGAGCTGGGAGCGCTCACTGACCTGAGCCACCAACAACAGATGGCCCATCAGGAAATCGTCAGACCCAGACCCGATTAGAGGCTAAATTGACCAAGTACAAATGGTAAGCTCTGGATGCAGACGAATAATGGGCTCCAAGGCCACGAGAGAGGTGGTCTTTGGTCTCTCCTTTTGCAGACCGGGTCAGTCATCACTGTAGATGTAGTGGCCCTGGGTGGTTTACAGTACCTGAGTATTAGAAATATGGGGGTGAGGAGGGCAAAACTGGAATCACCCCCCCTCCAGAACACTCAGGACCCCCAAAGCCTGTCACCTCACCCTCATTATACCTCTCACTCCGCTAGGGCAGTGAAGAGCAGCTCCTCCCCTGAAACGGCTGGGGCCTGGGGAGGCCCGCGAGAACATGTGAACTCTCACCGTCATGGCTCTGGGAAAGGCTCTAGGCGGTCAGCTGGCTGGACTCTCTTTTTATTATAGGTACCAATTCAGATCTGAGCTTTTGACCTATTCTTTGGAAGTAGTGTATGCTGGTAAACATGGATTTCAGAGTCAAACTCGAGAAGAAGCAAATCCCAGCTATGCTACTGCCTAGATATGTCATGTTGTTAAAATAACTTAAACCTGACTAGCCGCTCTCGTAGGATGGGTTGTGGGATCAACTGAAACCACATATGCCGAATGGTGCAGTATTTGGATAGAGATATACGCAATAAATGGTAACTATTATTACTTTTTACTTTTTTGAATCACTTTGTTGTTTGCTAATGGAACTCCTGTTCATCTCAGATTGGAAAGTCCAGCATTTGTCTGGTCGGTATCCTCTCACTGGGTGGGGGCCGGGAAGGGGGGCATGCCTGGACTAGACTCATGAATAGTGAGCCTGAGTGACAGATTAGAACTGATCCTTGACACAGAGTACACATTCCTAGGCAAACAGTCGCTAAGTAGAGAACATCTCATTTAGCTTATAATCATTCTAATTTACCACTCTTGTTAGATTAAAATAAAATCTCAGTTTTACTAGCTCTGTGTGTGTGTGTGTGTGTGTGTGTGTAAGATAAAGCCACTGTAAATATCTGTTTAAAGCTCAGGCAATTAACCAAACCAAACAGCAAGTTTGACTTTAAGGCTATTTTGATTCCTTCAGAATACTCATGAAAACACTGAAAAAAGGGAAACAAATAAAAGGTCAACTCACAAAGTCTCTAGGCTGTGGAGCCCATCAAAGCATTTCTTTCCCAGGGAGTGAATTCTATTGTTATGGAGATGCCTGCAGGAGAACATTACGGACACAGTCAGGAAGGCACACTGCTCATGGAAACTTCGGCACAGCCTTCTGATTGCTTAAATCCAAAGAAACTTAGAGTAAAGAATGTGCTAGTTATATATAAGAAATGCTTTTTTTAACTTTTTTTTTTCAAGGCTATATGACCCATCCACTCTTACCATAGATGATTCTATACTACAGAGTTTAATAGGCAGTGACAGTTTTACCTTTTGCGTTTGAGATGTCAGGGAGTATATAATAATACGGGCAACATGACTGATAAAAGTAAATTCAGGTTGTTAACATAGCTTTCAGATGTAGGATATTAAAGCAGAGATTCTGACCATCATTGACAAATGAAGGATGGAGGGAAGGTCCTGGTGTACACGCATATTTTCTATTAAAGCTGCAGGCTTATAAATGGCTATGTTCCCAGGGTGGGACCACAGGTTAACAGGCAACAACAATTTTAGTCAGAGAATGGTGATCAGATTTTTTTGGCTGCCCCAGGAGATTAGTTATCTTGACATAGTATTAACATGTATAATTATCATCTTTGGCTCAATGGTAAGTCAGTTAAGTCAGGGCCAATGAGAACAGCTGTGTATATAACTGAAAACTGGACCAGGTCCCAAGGGATTTTTGGAAAATGGGCTTAAGGAGAAGAGGGTGACGAATAGCTGGGTCTCTGTAAATCCATTCCTTCAGGTGGGGGAAAAAGTTAAAGCACACACCCAGCTTCTGGTGGGTCAGCGGTATCATCTTTATATGCATGAGTCAGTATAGAAATTTGTCAATATCGCCCGAAATTTCTTATCCTTTAAACTAAGGTTTTGTTTGTTTGTTTTTTCAAAGATTTTATTTATTTATTTATTTATTATTTATTTATTTATTATTTATTTATCTATTTAATTTGAGAGAGATAGTGAGAGAGTGAGAGCGAGTGGTGGGGGGAGGAGAAGAAGGGGGAGGCGCGGGAGGGGGTAAGGAATCTCAAGTGGACTCTATGCAGAGTGCTGAGTGTGGAGTGGGACCTGGGGCTTGATCCCACGACCCCGAGATCATGACCTGAGCTGAAACCAAGAGTTGGTCACCCAACCAACTGAGCCAGCCAGGTACCCCAACTAAGGTGTTTATTCTAATAAATCTATGTTGGTTTCGTGTGAGATCTTTGTGACATTTATTGAAGATCTTGTACATGGGGGAAGGGGATTGAGGGGAACCTAAAAAGATGGATAAGATGCTGGCCAGCCCTCAAAGGAAGATAATACAAGAGAGAGACGGGTAATCAAGAAAACTGGAATAATCGAAGGCAGTGGTGGGCCCGTGGGTGGGCATGGAGCAAAGGGAGAAATAGGGCAGAAGAAGCCTTCCTCAAGGTTCCTCGGCAAACTGATCTTCCAGCCTTTCAAGCAGCTGCTATTTTCCTTTATCAGCCTTGATTGACCATTATATTATACACATGGGGCATACAGCTACACCCTTAAAGGAGACTGATTATTTTTCAAACTATTACTTGAGAATCATTTTGGTTTACTTAAAATAATGAAATCTAGACCCATCGGGGAAAAAAGGCCACACAAACGCACAGCTCCCTGTTAATGGTTTGTCCTTACTTCTCTTCCCTTGGTAGGGGTTCAAAAAATATTTATTAAATAATAAGAAGGGCATATTTCAATTTGACCTGAATTAGAAATTATCAGAAATAAGGAATTTTTATTCACTTCTGTCACTGGACTAACTTTGTACAGTGTGACGATTGTCTGAACAATATACATGGGCTTCCCTAAGACAGAGGTTGTAGTTTATCTTCGAATGCCTCAAAGTGCGTGGCACTTAGCAGGTGCTTGGCTGAATTCTTTAATATTCTCAAGTCATTTCAGGGAGTCCCTATTCAAGGCATGAAGGGCCAGCACTTGAAGGCCAACATGTCCTGCGGTGAAAATTTAGAAAGTGTGAAAAGAGAGAGAGAAAGAAAGTCAATAAAACTTACAGAACTACCAAGCTGGAGAGGTTTCCAAAGGCATAGTCTGGTATGTGGTGTATTTTGTTCAGGGCCAAGGTCATGGCCTGCAGTGCTGATAAACTTCTGAAAGCCTGGACAGGGACTTCTGTCAAGGAGTTGTCATCCAGCCACAAGTGCCTCAGGGAATGCAGGCCACGGAAGCAGCTCGGGGGGACGTAGCTGATGTGGTTGGCATCCAGACGCCTGCGGAAGCAAGCAGCGAGGATGGTAAAGAGGGCAAAGCCCAGGCAGGAGGTCAGCCTTGCAGGGACACTCTCAGTATGCTGAGGAACAGGTGTGAAACAGGGCTCAGGGACCTCGGGATGCCCAGGCATCTGGAACAGTTTGCTCTCGTGGGAGGCTTTCCTCACTTGCCAGTAGAACCATGGCTTCTTAGAGCCCCTCGGCTATTAAAATTCCACGGAGCTATGATTCCCTTCCAGGCTTGTGGGTAACATGCCTCCATGCACAGAAGTGGCCTCCCCTGAGGTATGAAGCCTCAGTGTGATGATCTTTCAGTTTTTCTCTCTGACACCCTTTCTCTTCCCCCTTCTCCCAAGCCAAATACATGCCTTTGCTTTCTTTTCCTTTTTTTTTAAAGATTTTATTTATTCATTTATTTATTTGAGAGAGGTACAGAGAGAGAGAAAGCACGAGTAGGGGGAGGGGCAGAGGGAGAGGGACAAGCAGCCCCCCCCCCCCCCACCGCCTACTGGGCGCAGAGTCAGTCTCGGGACTGGATCCCCAGACCCGAGATCATGACTTGAGCTGAAGTCAGATGCTTAACCCACTGAGCCACCCAGGCACCCCGCATGCCTTTGCTTTCCCTGGACTGTTCTGAATCTACAAAACCTATTATTCTACCAATTTGTTCACTGAACTCTGGGAAAAGATCTTCTTGGTATTTAAAGGAACGGAGTCATTTCTGAAGGCTGTTAGAGACACGCCTCGGGGAGAGGAGAGGCGGTCCCTCTGGTTTTCTCAGTACAGTGCTGATAAAAAGCCTAAGAACTGTGGGCTTTCTTGCACATCTGACCATGTGCATTGGGCAGGTATTTGTTTTTCCTGACATTTTAAGCGAATAACAAAATGAGCAGCTTTCCCAGCTTTTGCTTCTTTCTTCCACACACCATTTTTTTTTTAAAAGATTTTATTTATTTATTTGACCGAGAGCGAGAGAGGGAACACAAGCAGGGGGAGTGGGAGAGGGAGAAGCAGGCCTCCTGCTGAGCAGGGAGCCCGATGCGGGGCTCGATCCCAGGACCTTGGGATCATGACCTGAGCCAAGGCAGACACTCAATGACTGAGCCACCCAGGCGCCCTGTTGTTTTTTGTTTTTTTTTTTTAAGTGGGGAACTACATCTAAACATAGGTCTGGGTAATGAGCTGTTGCAGCTTCAGAACCAGCAGAGGGAGTGCAATGCACTTCTCTCGCCCCGTCCAACAGAAACAGCGACTGCAATGACAATGCCGAGCTTTTCGAAGTGGAAATTGCAATCTCCTCTAAGGTGCATCAACGACAGAGACACCAGCACCCGGCTATACTTCCAAGGGCCCTCGCTCACTTTTCCAATCTGTTCTTTTTTTTTTTTTTTTTTAAGACTTTATTTATTTATTTGACAGAGAGAGAGACACAGTGAGAGAGGGAACACAAGCAGGGGGGAGCGGGAGAGGGAGAAGCAGGCTTCCCGCCGAGCAGGGAGCCCAATGATGCGGGACTCGATCCCAGGACCCTGGGATCATGACCCGAGCCGAAGGCAGACGCTTAACGACTGAGCCACCCAGGCGCCCTCCAATCTGTTCTTAAGGCTCACGCATTTGTCTGCATTTTCAAAGCTAGGATTAAAAAAAAGAAGAAGAAGAAGAAGAGTTGCATTTTAAGCGGTCCGTGTCTTAGGAAGGATTAGAAAATCATGAGTGGATTTTGAAAAATGTTTTAGGAAGCACTGAAGACTACACAGAGGCAGGAAGTGCACCAGGGTCATGGAATAATCCCTTTCCACCCAAATTTAAACAAGTTAGAGATAGAATTCTCTGTGGTAGGGAGCTAATTTCTTTGGAAAGCAGCCTCCTCACTTTTGGTCACAATATGTCACTTCACTTGTCCTCTGGCTTCTGCTTCTATTGACTGAATGGGGACAAGTGATGCCTTTAAGGCCCCGGACCAGGTTTTGATATTAACTGAGGTAAGGTCACTTGGAATGAATTTTAAGAGTTTGGTGTCCAGGGGTGCCCACTCACAATTAAATTTCCAGTAGGGTGACGATTACTGTAGGCAGCAGAAACACAGATTCCAACTATCTCAAGGTTCTGTCAATAAACGGAACCGGAAATTTTTAGGAAAACTCAACACTGCCCTTCCCCCTCGATGCAGTGACAACATGCTCAGCCCAGGTTCAAATAAGGTATAACTTCATCCGGGGTGAGGAGGTGATGGTTTTCTTTTGACCAGAAGTGAAGCACGTATGTAAACTCTCCTTAACGACCGCACTGATTAAACAAGGAAGACTTTATTTAAATCATATGAACTTCCCCGTTTGAGGTGACATCTTGTCTGATGATTGCCAGTTGCTTATGTAATAAAACAACAAGCAGCTTCTAAGAGTCCTGAAGATGACTCATCTTAAAGTTTGGTACACACGTTGGGGTACATTTATAGAAAAGGCTCTCTCAGCGCTGAGTCAGAGGCTTGTCTTCTTCAGGACTTAAGTTCCCGCTAATGTCACTGCTGGGTCTTGAAGTGACCTTGGTCTCAGTTTTCAATGTTAATAAGCCCATTTCTCTTGATAAGTGAATTTATGAAAAAAAGTAATTTATGATTTATGATTTCGGAATCACCCCCCCCCCCCCGCCCCTGCCGGCTGCAGGAAAAAGGAATGTAATCTGCCCTCCACAATGTAATCTTAGGGCAATTTGCTGTCTGAAATGAAATGAGTAAGACAGGGCAATTCTGCACAGTCCTATCCCTTCCTATCCTAATACTCCCCGACCCCATACTCGGGTATCCTGAATGAGGCACTAACTAAACTAACTAGACTAAAACGTGTCTCTGCCTCACTAGTTTCTTCATCTAAGAAGCTCCCAATAAACCATACTTCTTCTAAACGCAGTGTTTTGAAGTCCGTGTCCACCTGCCTCAGTGGTCCAAACCTAATCAGAGAATGGTACATTGTTCACATTCAGAGGCATTATCTGATTTAATCTAAACAGAAGATCCGAAGGCTAAACCGGAGTGTGGAATTAATTATCCAGCCACTCATACAGGTGGTTCCCACAGAACAAGGTTAAGACTGTGGACAAGGCAGCTGGTAGGGGAAAGTTGTGCCTCTTCAGTGAGTAAACAAAGAGCTCACATTAAGTCAATCCGGTCTTTTGGGGCAGCTGGGCATTTTCTAGTCATATGCTTGGAAAATGCAATATTTAAGTAGTGGTGTATAAGAAAAACATCACTACAGAGTACACAAAACCACATATAAAAGTGCAGTTCTAGAATATTATCAGGGACAACAAAAATAACTGTGTTATATAGTTCCACTTTTTAAGTGTTTCTTTGTTATCATTTCTATTTCATGCCAAGTCACAAAGGGTGTGTGTGTGTGTGCCTGCCCCTTAGAATCTGAATTAGAGCAGAGATTTGGGATGAGAAATCTCAGGTCCAAGTCAGTATACGGTAGCTGTGTGACCATGGCCAAATCAATAGACCTCAGCCTTCACACCTGTAAAATGGGGGTAACACCTCTCTATTTTATAAGATTGCTTTACGATTAAAGGAATGAATATAGCACACTATAAATCACCTTCATGATTTTACATTATTATTACTTGAGGCTGGTTAACAGTTTGTATTTTTGGGTTTTTTTGACCACGGAAACCATTCAGAAAAAAAAGAGGTAAACTCAAACTTTGCCTGAGTCAAAGGTTGGTTAAAAGGAGTACTATATTGTCGGTGAATTTTGGTTCTGAAAAATGCTACTTCTTTCATCCCTCACGGTGGAAATAATTAAGAGGTGTCTGCAATTAGACTGACTAGAAGTTACCCTTACTTTTCAGGCTTCAACATCACAATAACAGAGTGTGCATGCATGTGCACGTGCATCTATAATCCCAAAGGGCAAAGAGTTTTGTTCCCGATTCATTACTGAATAGAACGTCTTCATTCCAAAGGCAAAGGAGAAGCAGTGACATGGGATAGACAGCACATTCTCAGAGACAATTCCTACCAGTGATCTTGGCATGTAAGTATCTAACCCTAATGTCACAGAGGTAGCACAAAGCCGGCACGCTGTTAGGGGTAGCAAAATAAAACACTAACAGTGGGAGTGGCCCCATCGTCTTTTAGACAAATAAAACCTCTTAATTATGATCTTGAAAGACATTCTAAAAAGTAATCACTAGATGGAACATGGTACCCATTTTATGCTCCTTCTGTTACTTATAACTTCTAGCAAACTGGTAGATACAGATTTTACCCTACTTTCTATGTCATACAACCACTTACATCATGGGCTTAGGGTAACTGAAAAGTGCACTGAATTAGAAAAATCAAGACACATTAAGTCAAGACCCTGTCGGTTATTAATTCTGAGATTTAGAGGCACGTGGATTAATTTCTCTGAGGGTCCATTTTCATATCGGTAAAGCAGAATCGTAACAGGTCACAGAATTGCTATGGGAATTAAATGAGAAAACATATGTGCAAGTGTTTTGTAAACAGTAAAGCATTCCACGAATGATAGGTGTTATTACCTGAGAAAAATCTTCACATTTAGGAAGTGATATCATTCCTCCCCCCTCCCCCACAAAAGTTTCTTTAATTTTTCCTGAAGGTTCTTTACTCTTTGTCATTTCAAATCTCTCTAACGGAGACTGACATTTTTTGAGGGGGTCATATGGGCTGGCAGGACTGCTGATTTTCTACTCACCGTAATCCTTTGTATGTAAGTTCAGTAGCTACCCTCCATGTTTTGATTAGAGTTCTAGGAAGCCTCCCATCACAGAGAAAAGAAGAAGCACACATCTTTGAGATTAGGCCAACAGAAGTCCAAGAAGGCCCCAAAGGCTAACATGGCTGAGGAAAACTATGACATCACTGGTGCAGGAAGAGAATTTTCATCAAGTAGAAGTCTGGGCCGTGTTACCTAGAGGACTGCCACTGGTGAGAAAGGGATCTGTCATGACTTTGGGGCGTATGTTGGAATAACTCCCTCTCTGGAGGGAGGGCTTGGAGGACTCCATAGTTACCGAAGGGATTCTGCTGCATGAACTGTTTGGCCAACAGGACTGTCCCTCATGGACCTGGGGATGTGTCTCCTCATCACTGGGAACTTGTCAGGGCCATCCAGGTCACCCTGACAGGCTTCAATACTTTTGAGTACCCACGGTAAGCATCTAGAGTCTGGATAGCTGTGTTCAGAAGATTTCTGGGTTATCTACCTCTGAGCAATGTCCCATTCTCCTCCAAAGCATCTGCAAAATCTGCATAACATTGTTTCTCTGGGCTGGAGGGCTGTACAACCTCCTGACTGGGTATCCTGATAGTAGCTGTGCTGTAGAAAGATCTCTTTGATCGCAACGTGCAGAGGGACTGGTGAGAAAGTAAGTGACCAGGGCAGTTGCAGTCAGGAGGGTGAGAAAAGACAAGAGCCTGGAAGAAGTGTGGAAATGGACAGGAAGGTCCGAGATGAGGATTGCTAAATAAGTGGGCCCGACAGAATGTGGTGACTTGTCAGCTGTGGCCACAGGGGGAGGCAAGGAACGAACAGCGACTCCATGTTCCATCCTGGACGACTGGGCAGATGGGGACCGTGCTAGAGCAAGGATGAAAGTTACCCAGTATTCTGTAAACTAAAAACAAAATAAAACTGCATGTTCACTGTGACTGCAGTTCTGCAATATCAATGTGTCCTATGTGATGAAGAACTAGAAGGTAACAGGCAAAAAAAAAAATCAATCTTTTACGTCAGGAAATGGCAAAAACACACACACACACACACAAAACCCCCACAAAACCCAAAAAACAAACTTCAAAAGCTCATTTTCTTACCTCCTGTCTAAATATTTTTGCATAATATTTTCATGTGTAAAAGCTTAATTTTACAAGTTTTCTCTTTCAAAAGAAACATTTTGCCAATCTGTTCCATACTCCTGAAAGGAATTTTTGATTTATAAGTGGCATTATTGCAGGGATTAGAGAAGCTATGAGATCATTCTTGCTATTGTTTTTCCAGAAAAAGGCCCTTTACATATATCTCATATATGATACCTTGCCAATGTATCACACAGACTTATATCTTTGTTTGAGAATGTCTTTGATAAGCCATTAACTACAAGGAAGAAAGCGTTAGTCAAAAGATAAGCCATAGATCTTGGCTAATTCCATATCTGAGATGACTGTAATGATGTCAATTATTAACACAGATGACTTGAGGGGAAAAAAAGTCAAAGGTGTGAAGAATGTTGCAGCTGCAGGTATAATATAGTTTATGGGGATTCTTTCAATAAACAGAATTATGAAGCATAGCATTTTCATCACTGACATTTCTAGTTTATATTTGGATGAGCATTTTTTCTTTATAAGTTTTAAAGAAACGACCAACTCACTTGTACATGCATTTGTACATCTTGTAAGACCATTTTGAACCATTCACGAATAGTCAAAAGAGCACAATCATTTCGTTTTTGATAAATGAAAGCATGTTCAATTAATATCTTGCTTTGGTGCTGAAATGAAAACCACGTACTTCCAAGCTTGTATGTAATACAGTTTGACAAGGTATCTGACGCACTTGTTACGGTGAAATTTTACTGCACTGGAACCAGGGGATCTCTGGAAATTGAATTCGTCAGATCGTTATAATAACACTATTGGGATAGAATTTTATCTCCATAAACTCTTACAGGTTGGATTCCTGTTGATTTATATGAATTCTTCATAATCATAGGAGTCATTTTTATTGTTACTATTGTTATTTAATATTTATGGAGTGACCACAGCATGGGATTCTACCTTTTAATGAAACTTCCCATCCATATCCTAGGAAGACATGAAGTGTATGAATTCATATAAGCAGCGTGATTGTTTATATAAGGATTGCTGCTTCTAGCTTTCTGTTCTCCATCTTATTCATTGGTAAACTTAATGTAAACCAGGAGGAAATATTATTGCTTTAAACTTACCTCTGAAAAGGTAAAGAATTTTTCTCATCTCTGCAGTGTGGGGAGAGATGAAGTCTACAGGCTCACCAAAGAACAGTAATTTAGAGTCTAGTCAGTTGGTTTGACGAACAGCTACCTGAACCAAACCTCTGTCTCTCCAGCATCATTGAAGAGAGCAAACTTCAATAAGAAATATATTTTAAAATCAATTTATATGAGGTCGCTCAGTTTCTCAGAGGTTATTGTTGCTGTGAATTTTGTAACAGGAGATGAGTAACAGAAGCATTGACTTCTTCAGTTTCATTTTTCTCCATAGAAAACAAAGGCTTTTTTTTTTTTTTTTTTTTTGGCCAAGGGCACCATTTGTCTCCCAGGTACCATCAGGGTTTGAAATCTGGGGGTCATTTTTTAAATCTTCCATAGCCTTCCAGCCAATCATTCACCAAGTCCTCCGGATTTATTTTTATCTCCAAAACTCTCCACTTCCACTGTCTAGTTAAGTCTCTTATCTCTTAACACCTGCATGACTGCAACAGTCTCTGAGCTGGTCCTTTTGCCTTTGATCTCTTATCTCGTCTATTAATCCTGTAGACTGCTACCAGATTAATCTCCCTCAAACTGTGCTCTATGTCCTTCCCCTGTTAGGAATCCATGGTTCTCCTACCGTCCCTTCAAACTCAAACTTCCCATCTGATATTCAAAGCTCACCATCCACCTTATCTAGCCACACTTTTCTCTTATTTCTCTGTCCCAGGCAAGTTGTCCCTTTTTAGCTCCCTCCCACAGTACTTCTGAGTCTTGTATTCATGAGCATCTCCTACTTCCTGCCTGTCTGAATCTCATCAACCCTACAAGACTTAGCATTATGGTTCTTCCCTGAACCCTACTCCTTAAAAAAAAAAAAAAATTATCATGGCAGTATAGTTGACATATTATATTAGTTTCAGGTGTATGACATAGTGATTCAACAGTTCTACACATTACTCAATGCTCACCACGGTAAGTTGTAGTCACCATCTGTCACCACACCACATTACTACAAGATTACTGATTACATTCCCTATGCTGTACTTTTCACCTCTCTGACTTATTTATTTTATAACTGGAAATTTGTCCCTCTTAATCCCTTTCACCTATTTTACCCATCCCTGCCCCCACCAACCCCTTCCTCCACCCCCCCACCTCCCACCCCCGCCCCCGGCCCTCTGGCAACCACCAGTTCGCCCTGAAACCTTGAATTCTTAGAGCAGAGAGTCCTCAGCTGAGACAGTGGAAAGCTAAATCTTGCAGACAGATCGACTCCAAAATCCCTGAAGAAACGATTGGGGTCCAACTCTTAGCTCAGGAAGGGCAGGTAGAAAAAGCCAGGCACAGAGATAGAGAGTTTGGAGCCAAAGAGATCAGTGAACGTGGGCAACAAACTGGGGGAGATGAGCTGATCCCTAGCAGATGTTTAGAACATCACTTACGGTTTGAGGCTTTAGTTCAATGAATTCATTAAATGTTTCTTGAGTGTGTTTTCTGCAGGTCCTGCTCCTGGTGCTTGGAGAGCTGACAGCAAACCAGGCAGACATGGAGCATGTTTTCTAAACATGTTGATCCAACATTTACGGAGCATGTTTTCTAAAGTGTAGTCAGACAATCAAATCATTCCAATGAGGTGTTAGGTGGAGGGTAATGTATGGTAGGAGGACCTGACCTAAATTTCACTTTTCTTTGAGATCCAGATCTGGATTTCAAGCTGTTTACGTGACATTTCTACTTAGTCATTTCTCCACAAACACACACGTTCAAGACCAAACTCATTATTTCCCACCCTATTTCCCCCAGATGTAGCCCTCTGTGGGTGTTTCTTGTCTCAGTGATGGGCTTCATTAAGCACATGGTTATATAAACCAGAAATGTAGGAATCATCCTTGACACTCTTCCTCCTTCATTCTTCGTCGCCAATTCATTACCAAATACCAGTAATTTCATCTAAAGATTTCTCGAATCCATTTCCCTTTTGCTATCTCCACTGTCCCAATCCTGAAAAAGTTCTCCTTTCTCTCCTAGACTGTTTCAGTAACACAGATCAGATCATGCCCTTTCCTGCCTAAACTCGTCCAGTGGATTCCCATTGCTTTCACAATGAAGACTCAAATCCTTGGCATGTCCCGAGTGGCTTTCAAGGTGTCTGACCCCACCTGCTTCTTCTTGTACTTCTCCCACCTCACTCTCTCTTCCTGCTTCAGCCACATGGACCTTGTTTCTGTTCCCTGATGTACTAGCCCCTGCCTCTCTCCCTGCCATCCACGACAAGTTAGTGCAGCATACTTCCCTCTGTCTGGAATGTTCTTCCCTCTTGTCTTTCTCTAATCAACTTCCACCTTTGCAATAGGGACAAGATACCATTTACTTACTTATCAAGAAAGTGGAAACAAATTCTACCTCACAGGTAATGAGGGAACAGACAACCGAATGCATAGGGAGCACTACAAAAGGCAGACTGACCCACTCTTTAATAATATTGTTCTCTTCCCTTCTTCAACTTATTTACTTCTGTCCTGCAGCATTACTAGTTTCTTTCTTTTTGTAAACCTTCACAACGTGGGTCTAGAGGGAAGATGTGATTCTGTCAAGCCCTTTTCCCTCAGATTAGTGCATCTGCTGTGTGCCCATTCTCGGCAGTGGATTTTGGAGGGGGGCAAGATAGCGTGGCAGTAAAATGGGCAGATTTGGGAGTTAAAGAGACCAGAGTTCTTATCCCAGACTCACCTCTAGCCTGACTCCATTACCAGCCATATGACCTTGAGGAGGTCATCGAACCTCTTGGAGCTCTTTGCCTCCTCCTCACAAAGGAAGGGATCATCTCCGCTCCTTCCTCAGGAGGCTGCTTCGAGGATGAGGGGAACATTGCAGGTTAAAGCACTTCATAACTAGCAGGGGCTGCTGCTTTTATAACCAAGGGGGTTTAAACACCCTGGGTGTTTCTCATTTTGTCCTGGCAGTGTTCCCATGCTTTACTGCTTCTTCACGTGCCTTTTTACAACTCCTTACAGATTTCACCTCCTCCAAAGAGGGGGAAACATTTTGTCCCCCTCACAATGCACCTTCCGATTGGTGTCATCCCTTTAGCTTCTCCGAAGAGTTTAACCTGCTTTCCAAAGGGAACCTTCATTTCTCATCACAAGACTACAAAAAGTGGTATTTGACTTCTCATGGATAACGTCTATGTTCTCTCTTATTTATCTATCTGCTGTCCTAGACGGGATTTGATCAGGGCACTGGCGGGTAACCTGATGTAAGAAAGCCTCAGGCATGGGGTCTTGCATTAAGTATTCACATTTTTTTCGTATATGATTCTGAAGACTGTGCTCCGACTTGCTGTAAACATTGCGTGGGAAGGCCTTTACCTTTGAAAATAGTTTTCATGGGGGCACCTGGGTGGCTCAGTCGTTAAGCAACTGCCTTTGGCTCAGGTCATGATCCCAGGGTCCTGGGATCGAGCCCCGCATCGGGCTCCCTGCTCGACGGGAAGCCTGCTTCTCCCTCTCCCGCTCCCCTGCATGTGTTCCCTCTCTCGTTGTCTCTCTCTCTGTCAAATAAATAAATAAAATCTTAAAAAAAAATAGTTTTCGTCTCCTATTTAAATGGGGGGAGGGAGACAAGGAAAACTTCTCCTCATAACAATTCATGGGGTGCTGGTTTGCACGTGGTTCTGTGAAGTGAACACCCAACAGTGCAACAGACAAAACTCTTGGCCTCTAGAATGTCTGAGTCCACCCCCATCCCAAGACCTATCTGATATGTTGGCACTTGGTGAAAAAACAAACTAAACCAAATTTTTATTTATTGAACATGATTTTTATTGTGTAAGCTTGTAATCTCTCTTTCTGGAGACTATTTTAGTGGAGGGAATAATGTTACTAATACTAAAACCATTGTTTTGTTTTGTTTTTTAACCCCTTTGATCTTTTAAACTTATCCTCTTGGTTACCTCACTCTGCATTCTTTTTGTCTGGTTACACCACCTTGTCTTTTGTGTACTTCCTTCCCATTCTTTATCCAGGGTCTGAAACCCAATAGGCTCCTGGATATTAATGGGAGGAAACTGGCTGGTTCTAGGCTTGCCTGACTTTCTGCTCAGCACCCTGCCTCTTCCTCCTCGTCTCGTCCTCTCGCTTACTCTTTTTTAGGACTGTTATCAGCAAAACCCCATCACAATGAGTGGGTGAATTTATTAACATTTCACAGGGTTCCGGGGGTGGAGTCCGCAGCCCTGAAGGTGTGATCACAAGATGCACGGGCAGATCATGTTCCAGGCAGGAGTTTTATGTTCTTCGGTTTTAAAACAATGTCTTATCCTCTGAAGATGAACACCAGCCGATTGGAGAATAGAGACAATACTAAAGATATGTCTAATTCTCTTATTTTCTATGTACCAACCCAATTAGTTTCTCTAGTGAGAACGAGACTTGGGATGAAAACTAACATGTAATAAATAATACTGGATAAACACGAAGATGTCATTGTCTTTGATCATCTTCACTGATGACGGGGAAATGACTGAACGTCATTAATGACTGCCCACAAACGAAGCAGTTGATTTTTTTCAGAGACCAATTTCTTAACTACAAACACAAAGGTGTGAGGGCATGGGAGGGTTAAGGTTTGAGTTTCTATGAAATCACTGTAATCTGAACCTGGTCCTCAAATGACTATTATGCCAAACGTTTCTTGGTGAAATACAACTCATTGTGAATTCTGATTACATTTCCTATTCCCTTCCAAAGAAACAGAAAGGAAATTAAGTTATATTGGATTACATTACAAAAAAGCCAACTGGTGTCTGGGCAGTCATTACCATGTCAGAAGCAAATGGCCATATTGTATGGGGGCAGGCTCTGGGCTATACTGGGCTCCGGCACATGGGCTTGACCTCTTGTTCTTTATGCAAACAACTTGCAAGCATCAGGAGAGAGTTACAAGAACACAAATGTACCTATGTGTTCTCATTATGAACAAAGCCAAATAACGTTTGTTTATGTAAAATAAATGAAAATTACATCTCTTGAAACATGAGTCCAATTCATTTCTTGCTCACAGCAATATTACCAATTTTAGCCTATCAGGTTTCTTAAACTATCTTTTCAATGCAGCCAAGTCCATATGGAGGAGCAAAGTATACCAAAGATCTATTTCAGTAGTTACCAGCCACTTTTGGTTTGTAGACCACTTGTTAGTGTCATAGAACAATAAAAATGTTCATTTCTCAAAGGCAGCAGCCATATCAATCCCCTGAGGATTTTGTTAAAATGAAGTTTTGAGTAAGTAAGACAGAGATGAGGCCCACCGCTCCGCAGATCTCGGAGGTGCCCGCGCTGGGGTGAACACATTCGGATAGCGGGGTAATACACAGCATGTGGCCTCCTATCTTCATCGGCCCCAGACTGTCAGTAGAATTAATAGGCAGATGTGAGCTATTTCTTTCTTTCTTTTTTTTTTAAAGATTTTATTTATTTATTTGACAGAGAGAGGGAACACAAGTAGGGGGAGTGGGAGAGGGAGAAGCAGGCTTCCCGCGGAGCAGGGAGCCCGATGCGGGGCTTGATCCCAGGACCCTGGGATCATGACCTGAGCCGAAGGCAGACGCTTAACTGACTGAGACACCCAGGCGCCCCGAACTATTTCAATTAAACACGAACAACGCAACCCCTGACTTTTATTTCATATTTTAAGGACATCATGAGTTCATCCTGGAATGCAAAGTATGGATGAGGTTATGATTTCAGGTTTGAAAATGGTTCAGGAAGAATATCTGCCGAACACCTGCAGGAACGTGGTGGGACACCAGTCTTCCCAATCCTCCTTTAAAAAGCACTTCATGTTATAATTGCCCCAGTTAGAAAACACTCGGGAGAGTGCAGCCTCAGGCTTTGAGCCTCTCCGGAATGATTCTCCTTTGCAGCCAGGGTTGAGGAGCCCCCGTTGGAGATGACAGGGCCGGGCATGCACAGGGCTGATGTGCTCACAGCTCCCGTGGAGTGCCCCGTGCCTCTCAGAGCACGAACGTGTAACACAAGGCAAATAATCAAGTGAAGAAAAATAGAGTGACTTCGGGAGAGAGAAAGAAGAGGAACCGTGACCAGAAGGGCTGAGGGGCAGGCGAAGGGCTTGACTGCGGTGCAAGAAGAGCCGGGGGACTGAGTGGAGGCGTCCTGGGTGCGGGTGCGGGCAGCAGGGAGCAGACAGGTGTCATCCTCTTTGTTACTTGTATTGATGCAGAAGCATCTCGAAGGGAAATGAATGGAAGGCGCATAGGGAATGTATGTGTGTAATGACCACTCCTCTCAAAACTAATGCTTTCATTTTCGGGTCTGCTTAAAGGAAACGGGAGAGGGACTATTAAACACCCTGAATCTGGGACAACAGTAAAACTTTAAAAGGGCTCGCTGTGGCCCCGACCTGCAAACCCGGCCGGGGGGCTCCTTCAGCTGGTACAATACAGTGTCTGTGTGGTTGGTGGCTCAGTCTATGTTTATGATACTCTTTGCCAAATCTTAATTCTTGTATCCAAGCAGCACAAAGAATGTGAGATGTGGCATGATAGCGCTCACTGCCAACATTCAGCACCTCCCATGGGTCCGTCTGCGCTCCGGGCAAAGGGACGGCTGCACAAACATTACACAGCCTGCCGATAAAAGTCAGCGAGCACTGGGGGCCGAGGGTCTATCTAGATGCGATAACCATCAAAATAGAAAGTTAACCCTTGGCTTTTTCACAGGGAACACATACTTATAAGGTTTCAGACACCATTGTTTTTTGTGAATCAGAAACCATAATGCAAGAGACACCTGGTGAACAGTAAATATCGAGACGGTAAGAAACCAAATCTGAACACCTTTATCAGAGAGGCACCACCCAGTTTGGGTGAACAAAAGATTCATGGTTTTCTCTTTCTCAAAGAGTTCACTTCTGTGTGTGTTCTGTTTGTGATCTTCTTTCAGCTGATAGTGGCTTTTGGTTACAAACTCTTATCCTTGTATCTTCTGCCTCACAGCTGTTTAAAGTTCCCATTGGCCACTGCCATTATCTCGTTTTTCAAGCAGCCCCTGGACCCCGCGCCCTTACACAGACAGCCCCACTTGAGAGCCTTTCGCCTCTCTGACTGCTCCATCCCTTTAGGAAAATGCTGGTGCAATAAAGGAGGAGTGATACTCTGATGGCTTTAGGGAGCCCCTAAAAAGGCAGCAGACCTGTCCCAGGCCACAAAGGGGCCCTTGTGGGCTTGTTTATCTATAGGCCCGTGAAAACCTAGGAAGTCACTTTGTTTGACTGGACTAAAAAGCTTAAAATGGTCTCAAGCACAGATTTGCTTTCATTTAAAAAAAAAAAAAAGATCAAAGGAGGAAAGTATCATCTTCAATCTCACATTCCTCCTTCTCTTGTATCACCTCAGTAAAAGGCATTAAGCAAAAACTATATGTAATTATTAACTGACGGATTCCTTTTTTCTCTCTCTCTTTTTTTTTTTTGGAGAGGGAGAGGGGGAGGGGCAGAGGGAGAAGAAGAGAGAGAATCTCAAGGAGATTCCCATCTGAGGGTGGAGCCCGACATCAGGCTCGATCTCACAACCCTGAGATCATGACCTGAGCTGAAATCAAGAGTTGGATGTTCAACTGACTGAGTCATCCAGGCGCCCCCATTATTAACTGATGGATTCTTTATAATACTTTTCAGCTAGAGTCTGCAATATTTATTTGCCTTTTTTTAATGCATTCGTCTCCCTCAGCATTCTAGACCAGAAACCAGTATTTTGTTTGACAGGTGTTAAGTAAGATAAAAGCGGACATTACACACGCATATATTGGAAATCGTGCAATAGATTGTAAACACTGATACATTCTGATGAGATGATTTACTAACCAACTGCTCATGGCTTAGTCTTGCCAAATAATCACCGTGAATAATTGCCTACACCCCAAGCTCTAAAACATCCAGCTCGTAAGAAAGTTCTCTTTGTGAGAAATAACTGATTTTTATTTACTCAGAGATTCCACATCAATGAAGAGTGGAGACTCCTGACAGAAAACTGTGTGTTTGTAATAAGGAACAGTAACACCACCACCGTGTTCTGTTTGTGGGTGTGTCTGTGTGTGTAGCTGAGGTGTGTGTGAGTCTCTCTGTGGGACTAGTCGTTTGTATGCTTGTACGTCTGTGCGTGGCGATAGGGAAGTTGTGCAGCAAGGTTTCAAGACAGACCATCAGATCTCAGTTTGCGGATATGAGGACCCCTGAGGTACATACAGAACTGGAAAAATTAAATCTGTATTGGACTCAGCAAACATTTTACTACAAGGCAGCTCAGATCATCTGAAAACAGAATAAACTGAAGATGCTAAGCTGTCTAGCTTTTGACACTCCTTTTTCCAGATAAAAGGAGAAAGCATTCTCTCTGATTTGAACTCCGGAACTAAAATATTACAGGGGAAGGCAGGACAAGATCCTGGACATTCTGTCCCTTGATGCCAGTGTATCCAAGAGGCTTTTCACTGCAGGTGCTGTGACTGAGTATCTGACCTGAAACTCCAAACTCCAGCACTGGTCCCTCCCACACGTATTGTTTAATGGGGATTTGAAGGATTGTTGCTCTAATGAAAAGTCTCATTCACAACTTCTTTAGGTATGGTCCCCAACCAAGGAATTTATGAAAATGGTCATTTGGACATTTCAGTGCTCCTTCCCATATTCATCCTGAGAACAGTGGCAATTGATACTTACAGGGACTGAAGGCTTCGCAAATTCTGCAGAGCTTCCGTCGGTACCTGTCTTAGGTGATTATTCTGCAGCATACTGCACATGAAAACAAACGAAGAAAAACATTAAAGAAGGTTCACAATAATTAATAATAATTGGCCATAGCAGTGCCAGGCACTGTTCTAGGTGTCAGGGAAACAGCAGAGCATCAGACCAAGTCTTGGCCCTTAGGGAGCTTACATTCCTGTGTGGAGTAAAAGATAATTAGAAATTAATGGATGTGTCTATAACATCAGACAAGTGATAGGTACTATGAACAAAAAACAAAACAAGGATTTGGGATGGATGGCTACAAGGGGTGAGATTTTTTTCTTTTTAAGATTTTATTTATTTATTTGACAGAGAGAGAGACAACGAGAGAGGGAACACAAGCAGAGGGAGTGGGAGAGGGAGAAGCAGGCTTCCTGCTGAGCAGGGAGCCCCATGCGGGGCTCGATCCCTGGACCCTGGGATCATGACCTGAGCTGAAGGCAGACGCTTAACAACTGAGCCACCCAGGTGCCCCAAGGGGTGAGATTTTTATCTTAAAGGTGGTCAGGGAAGATCTTTCTTAGGAGGTGATACTTGAGTGGAAACTAGGATGGAGTCATGGAGCAAATTCTGTGAACATCTGGGAAGAATTTCTGAGAAGAGGGAGGAGTAAGTGCAAAGGCCCAGAGGTGGGAGCTTGTTTGACTCGTTCAAGGAGCAGCAAAGGAGGAGTGAGCGAGAGCAAGAGGCTGGGAGAAACTGAGCCATCTCATGGAGGACTTGTAGGCCACAATAAGTCTTTAAGTGTGATGAGAAACTCTTGTTGAAGGGTTTATGTAGGGAAATGATATGCTCTAATTTATGTTTTTTTCCTTTTTAAAATTTTGATTATAGTTGACATACAACGTAACATTAGTTTCAGGTGTACAACTTACCGATGTATAAGTTTCTACATCATGCTATGTTCATCACAAGTGTAGCAACCATCTGTCTTCATACATCGCTATTACAATATCATTGACTGTATTCCTTATGCTCTGCTTTTTATTCCTGTGACTTATTCATCCCATAACTGGAAGCCTGTACCTCCTACTTCCTTTCACTGATTTTGCTCACCATCTCCACCCCCCACCTCCCAGCAACCATCAGTTTGTCCTCTGTATTTATAGGCCTGATTCTGCTTTTTGTTTGTTTATTCATTTTTTCAGATTCCACTTATGAGTGGAATCATGTGGTATTTGTCTTTCTCAGTCTGATTTATTTCATCTAGCATAATACTCTCTAAGTCCATCCACGTGGTCTCAAATGGCATGATCTCAGCTTTTTTGTGGCTGCATAATATTCTCTCTCTCTCTCTTTCTTTCTCTCTTTCTCTCTCTCTCACACACACACACACTTTTCCTTATCCATTCATCTATTGATGGACACAGGTTACTTTCATATCTTGGCTATTGTAAATAACATTGCAATAAAGACATGGGTGCATATATCTTTTCAAATTAGTGTTTTTGTTTTCCTTGGGTAAATACCCAATAGTGGAATTACTGGAACATATGGTATTTCTATTTTTAATTTTTTGAGGAAGCTCCATACTGTCTTCCCCAGAGGCTATTCCGATTGACATTCCCACCAACAGCGTACGAGGATTCCCCTTTCTCCACATCCTCACCAACACTTGTTTTATTTATGCTTTTAAAGGATCACTGTGATGACTACATAAATTAGACAAATGGAAATATGGATACAGTAGGAAGCTATTAAAAATCTTCTCTCTTCTTGTGTGTGTGGTCATATTTTAATAGAAACTAAATTCTTTTTGTGAAGTTTTGTGCTTTCGTTCGCCTGGATTCAACAGTTTCAGAATGTGAGGACTACAGAACAGAAACACCCGGTAACAATGAAATAAAAATATATCATTGCTAGCAGGGAAATAGCAAGGAAAAAAATTCCCATTAGATTCCTTGTATTTTGATATCTTATTCATAAATGTTTATAACACCATAATTTCACAGCCATTCCCTCTGTATTTCATGGTCTCTGTAAGCCAGAGGCAGAAGACTATTTTAGGAAAGCAGACATTTTACAGAAATATTTCTGCTGAGGAGGCTACTACTTATATTTGAAGCTCTGAAAAAATGTGCCTGGTTCTCTCCTCTCCACAATGGAAGTTTCTTTTCATAAGATGCCTAGTTAGGATCCAACCCCAAGTATGTCTAACTCTGAACTTGATGTACGTTCCACTGCACTTTGCAGCATTCTCTTGAGGCATATTTGCTGAATGTCCAGTCTCAGGTTGTGTGGTGTATGGTCTGATTAAGGCATGGGTAAGACAATGGGTTCTTGAATCTGTCCACCTCTTCCCTGCCACTAGCAGAGTGGCCTCGGGGAAATCATCCAGTTTCTCCACATCTCAGTGACCAATGATAATACCCACCCAAGGGCTTCCTGCGATGATCTGATGAGTGAACGTACACAGAACAATCCCTGCTGTACAGTAAGCATTCCATAAAGGTCGGCCCTTTCTGTATGAATTGACAGACTCCTTGTCAAAACAATATAATGAGATCATACTGGATATGACATTTTAATTAACCAGAAAATAAAACGGGAAGAAAAAAAAATCTGTGCCAGTGGTTCTCAGACTTTGGGGTTCATCAGACTCCACTGGAAGACTTGTTAAAACCCAGTGTGCTGGGCCCCACCCTCAAAGTTTCTGGTCCAGTACATCTGGGTAAGAGCCAGAGAATGTGCATTTCTAACCAACTTCCAGGTGATACTGGTGCTGGAGGGCAAGGTGCTACACCTGAGAACCACCCTATGCTAGACTAAGTGATTTCTGGTAGAGTATTTTCACCTAAACTTGAGGCTATATTGACCTTGGAGATAAGGCCTAAGTTTTGAGTCTTAGGGAGCAAACCATTTAATCTCTCTGACCTTTGGTCACTTATCTGTATAATGGGAATAGAATAAGATCATCTGATTGATGAGGTATTTGAGGATTAAAATATGAAGGTATTTATAACACTTTCATATATACAAATGTGAATTTGTATACAAATAAGACATGAAAAATACCTAAAGGTCAAAAATTTATACTTTTCTTATCATGTCTGAGACTCTGTTTAATAAAGAATAGAATTATGTCACTTGTATTCCAATAGTTTGCTGAAATAATTTCATTGTTAAACTTGAATTCAACTAACATTTCATAAATCAAGATTGTCAAATGTACTGGATCCTTATGAACAAAGTCAAGTTTTAGAAAGATCTCACGCTTCACATACCTGTTAGGGAATTGGGAAAATTGTAGCTTGAATTCCATATTTTGCATAATTTACCTGAATATTAACATTTTACATTTCTAGGTTATTTTACATTTTTCCAAGTAGTTTTAATATATTATATAATTTTAACTCCACAGAATGTCTTCTAAGTCACTCATTAATTGAGTGATAAGTTTAAATGATGGTAAGACACAGATAATGGACTTAATTGATGTCTAAACTTTGTAGGTAATATATTACTCTATAAAGTATTTATTGAATAGTCTTTCTATGCTTTGCTAACCAAACAGTGAAACTATTAAAATGTGGAATTCCTAAAAAATTGGAAAATTGGAGTAGAGGATAAGAGATATTCAGATGGTTTTCCTTCATTAAGTAGTTGCAAACTCTCTCCGAAGTTTCATATATCTGGTTTCAGAAAACAGAACTTAAGTGAGGTTTGCTAATGATAATTTTTAAACTACCCCTGAACTACCACTCAGCAATTTAATTTTTGAACTACTTCTGCCAGTAAAATACCAAAAACGCAATTTAAAAAAATCACTTAAGTCCTGAGCTTTTCCTAAAATAACTTCTGTTTAATTACTTTTAAATAACAAAACAAGAGCAAGTTATCTCCATTATATCCTTATAAGTCCAGTGGGTTAATTAGAAAATTCTGTTTTTGTTTAAGATATCCTAGTGGGAGACAAAACAATTAAAGGGTTTACAGCACTATGGAGTGCAATTAAAACAGAAAGCATTCACAACATGGCTGCTGATTTCTTTTGCAAATATTCCTTTATTCAGTGCATTGAATATAAGCAGAAAGCACTGTAAACTGAATATGCGTTTAGGCACTTTTAGCTTCGTTTTTTATCATTCGCTTACGGGGGACAAAAGAAAATAAAGCACTTTCTCTAGAGACAAAGGATGGTTGCATATTTTCTTAATTTCTTTCCCTGATTTTAAAATATTAAAATTTAAAAATGTTTTTATTTTTAAAATTTATTTTAAAATGTATTAAAAATCTAAATACATTTAAATTATTAAAATTTAAAATATTCACTATTTCCTACAGCATCCCATGCTTCTTAATAACACAATGTTTGGTTATCTTTTTTGCCAACAGGACTAACCGAGAACAGGTACAGTGCAGCAGAGGGAGATGAAATCATATGTTATAAGGGGTCTTCATCACATCGATAGCTTGATCCTTTGGTATTCCTTCTGCCTAATTGTTCTGTGTTTAGATATCAAGCAACTGCTGAGACTCTGTTGTAAGTCTACGTGGGAATGAGAGAATTTTGGCTACTTGTACTTTTCCCTGGTTAGTTTTACCCATCACCTCCACATGGCTTTGGTTCTTGTGCTGGGGGGCAGGATGAGAAGCCATTCCTTGACTGAATAGCTTACACAAGAAAAAGAACCTTGGTTGAAGAGAGCCTAGTTCAGAATTCCACTGGACTGGGTATTTTGCAATGCAGAACCAAAAACTTATTTTTTTTATGAGGCCAATATACAGAGGAAATCTTAAATATTAGTGATCTTCCAGAGTTCACAGTAGCAAGATTTCAGATATAACAGAGTCCTAGTCAAGGAGGGCTGTTGCTATCTTTATTTTCTCAATGGACTGGCTTACTATTCTCTCTCTCTTTTTTTAATCTTCTCTATGCTGGTCAGAGACCCAGATGAATATAACTTTTATATTACCTTTCTTACCATGCTATACTGTAATCAGTTACTTCTTTCTTCCAATGACTTTTAGACTTTATAAAACATTTGGAAGAGTTGTCATGAGCATAGAAACAGACTTGTCTTCTTCTGCATTTTACCTCTAGTTCGGTCTTAACCCTATTGGACCCAATTCTCCCTTTAATACCAAATATTTTATAATAACTCATCTCTTATATTTAGATAAAATTCATTAAAATATAGCCTATTTACATACATCATTTTGAAGGAAAAGATCAATATAATGTACTGCCCTAACTATATTATGAAGGACAAATAAAAGAGATTTATAATAAAGTGATATATGTATCATTACACACATGATGTTCAGATAGGAGACATATTTATGAACGAGTCAGATGTTTGCCCCTCCTTTTAATGAATAAGGCTGGGCATGAGAGAAACACCATGAGCAGAAGCTATTCTGGACAAGAACAGGGAAATGAGATTAGAGGTCTAGATGGATACTGAGTAGCACATCACAGGACAGTTTACTTCATGCCAATCATCTGGAAAACCAAAGACGTCCCCACAAGTTTCCAAAACACTCTGGCAGGCAGAATGACCATGGTTGAGAACCATTGTTCTCCTACCAAAATACTTTCAAAATATTTGACGATTGAATTTGCTCATTGAATATTAGTGTTTAAGTCAGCAAAGTAAAAGGAAGAGTGAATTCAATTCCTGGCAGGGGTCTTGCTCCTCTAGATCCCTCTTCACATGGACAGAGATCTGCAAAGTCTGAAACTGCCATGCCTGTGCTTACAACTTTTCCCTGGTTCCTCATCACGCCTAGAACACGATCATGCCCATGCATATTTGACATGACACGCAGGATCTCTGGGACCAGGACCCTTTCTATGTCTTACAGGAAGCAAATCTGAACCATCAGACCAGACTAAATGTTTCCCAACCTCTGGAGTTCCACAGTGCCCCGCATATATCTCTAGACACGCTTTTCAGATGAATCAGAGATCTGTTTGTTTGTGTTTGTCCTACTATCCTGATCCCACAACCTATCACTGCAGTATAAACTCTCCAAGGGTATGGACCATACTTACTGATCTTCGTATTTTTAGCAATAATCTGTTCAATGCCACACACACACACACACACAAACTTTCTCTCTCTCTCTCTCTCTAGCTCAGTACACCCAAAATACATTTTGTTAAGTGAATTAAAATAATTGATTGTAGTATAACTTATTTAACAAGTATCCAAAATGCTTTGTGGTATATATCTCAACATTGAAAAAACATCATTTTATTTGTCTTACCTAAACTCGATTTATTTCTGATGCATTTTGAATGGTTTGCTGAGTTCATGGAGATATAGGTGCATTAAAGAGTTGGTGCTACAGCTCAGAATTTTACCACATAATGAATTAACATGAGGATTTGGTAATAGGACAACTTAAAAATATTTCTGCCTAATAGAAAAAACAACGGTAGGGGGGACCAAACTCAACCGCCTAAGCAGGCCAAGCGATGGTTCTGCTGTTAAATTTGATTTTTAACAAAATGTTGAATTTAAATAAAACTGCTTTTCTAATAGCCTCTGTATCCCTCAGGTCAATGAAATACATTTTCCATTAAGGAGAAATATATGAAATGCCTTCTTAGAGTTCATAACTTTTATCTCAAAGAAAGGAAGTAAATTCAGGATATTCTCTGAGATAAAATTTTTGTGGTATGACTTTCAACTTATGCTATCTATTTTCTCTACCTAGGTGATTTTTTTTCCCACACAGAATAAAGTGAAAGAAATTAAGCAATGAGTACTAGAAGGAGGTATTCAATAATAATGAGTTTTCTGATGAACAAACTGGGAAGTTGGGTATTAAATAATAAGAATACTACTTTTACAAGTCTCAATGAATGAATAATTCTCAATTAAATAACTACTCAGTGTATCTGTTACGCACTCGGCTTTTCTCTATTCACAAGTGGAATATAAACTTGGTCGTGTTTTAGCTAATCCTTATTCAGTGCATTATAAGGAAACAAGCATGACAAATGTTTTGAGGCTGTGGTCTCATTATGTCAGCATCATAATGATTTATTCACTTGGTGATCAGAATGATTCAAGAAACTGTCCCCAACTTCATTACCCAAAAGGAAAGGGAAATAGCTTCTTAAAAGTCCAATTTGGTAAGTTGCTTCTTTAGAGGCAATTTTAGAAATTAAATTAGAACAGGAGGGATGGACATTTTTTTCACACATGAATCCAGCCAGGTATAATGCGGTCCTATGGTACCAAAAAAGTAGACTTGATTTTAAGTGAATTAGCCGATGGTTCTAAATAGCTTATTAGAGGGATTCAGTCTTTACAAGTTAATTAGCATCCACTTGACACTAAAATCAGAAATATAACAAATAAAAAATAAATATAACAAATAAGACCCTGCTTACTTACAGAACTTTAAGACTGTAAAGGCCAGCGAATGCTCCCTTGGGAATGTATGTCAAAGCATTTCCGGCAAGACGTCTGTGGGTTTTAAGGGAGAAGAGAGACAGTGAGCATAGTTCTCTTCATGTGGAATTCATTTAGTTGTTAAGAAATGCAACAGAATTTTGTTCAAACCACAAATGCCAAAAACAACTGTAGAGAACTTTGTCCTGATATATTTTTTGAAAAGCTTCTGTAAATTTCTAATCAAAAGGCTGGCAAAAGAAGTGCCTACAAAGAAATATGATAAATCATCTATTTTTACACTAAATCATTTAATAGCTTAGACTATATATGTAGCTCTCCTTTCTAAAAAATTTTATACAAAAGTTAGCGCCGTATAATAATCTTCAAAAATTGTAATGTCAAACTGTGATTGTCACATGATTTTTACAGTTTTTCTGTAGAAGTCTAAATAAATCAGATAATCAAACATAAGTATATTTCCGTTACAATTATCCCACAAAATACCCAACCCTCTTGCTAAATCTGGCAAATAAGAATGCAGACTATCACAGTCAGTTTTTTCTTTTTCTAATTAACATATAATGTATTATTTGTTTCAGGGGTACAGGTCTGTGATTCAACAGTCTTACACAATTCACAGCGCTCACCATAGCACATACCCTCCCCAATGTCCATCACCCAGCCACCGCATCCCTCCCACCCCCCTCCACTCCAGCAACTCTCCGTTTGTTTCCTGAGATTAAGAGTCTCTTAGGGTTTGTCTCCCTCTCTGGTTTCACCTTGTTTCATTTTTTTCCTCTCTTCCCTTATGATCCTCTGCCTTCTTTCTCACATTCCACATATCAGTGAGATCATATGGTAATTGTCTTATTTCACTTAGCATAATACCCTCTAGTTCCACCCACATCATTGCAAATGTCAAGATTTCATTTTTTTTGATGGCTGCATAATATTCCATTGTATAGATACACCACATCTTCTTTATCCATTCATCTGTTGATGGACATCTAGGCTTTTTCTATAGTTTGGCTATTGTGGGCATTGCTGCTATAGATATTTAGGTGCACGTGCTCCTTCGGATCACTACATTCACAGTCAGTTTTTTCTAAACTCTATCAGAAAAGGGTAGAGTATTTTAATCAACGGTTTAATTGGAATTGTATTTCAAAATGGTATTATGCTTAAAAAATTGAAAACAATAAAGAGTGTTCAATATGAGAGACATTAGTAAGGTTTATTTAGTAGAAAGTTTTGACATCATTAACTGGTAAAATTGTAAGAGTATATAATATTTTTCTAAGTGGGAAACAGTCAGGGTGAGAACTTACGCAAAAAGATGGACAAGGTGTGGTACCGGAAGCACCTGGTTCAGTACTTTTTTGGCGATCACATCAAAGTCACAACCTCAGGTGTTAGATGGTTCCACAAAATGGAAAATCCGAGAACAACACAGTGACTCAGAAGAGCACAGAACCTTTTAAGGAGCTGGTCACATTGTAGAAGGGTGGGTAAAACCGGCAATCAAGACACCCTCATGTTTCCTTGACAGAGATGGAGGTTGGAGTAAAAGGGTGGAGTGGCCCACTCGGACTAGTGCTTATTCCTGAAGGGCCGAACAGCTTCAAATTTGTATTTTGATATTATCTCCAAATGAGAGATAATTCAGTTCCGCTGAGCTCCACCGACGGGACTGAAATAAGCCATTCAGCATACAACTTCAAATATGTGTCCCAGGGCTAGTCTGCACCACCACCAAGCTGTGAGTATTGAAATAAATATTATCTCACAAGCAGCACCTCTGAATAGCATTTTTGGTACGAGTATTAGAAAGCATAATTTGCTCGATCCAAATTAAATTGACTTAAAATGAAAATGTATCACAATTTTTATAATCTTGCTTTTATTTTTTATTTTTTTAATTTTAAAATATATAACAAGAGACTTGAATCTGCCAAGAAGGTCTGCCTATTTCGGGTCTGCACCACCAACTTGCTGTGAGCTGTTAAGTAAGTTTATACTTCTGAGTTTCATTTTCTCACTAATTACATGAAACAGTAAGATAAGGTAGCTACTCAGGTCCCTTCTAGCTCCTGAACTCTAGGACTTCTCTCTCTCATCTTATGTTTACTTGTGTTTGTGCCTATTTTCCTTCTCTTAACAAATATAATTTTGTTAAGATGCAGATAGCTCTTATATGGTACTCCTCCTGCCTTCCTCATGGTGCCTAAAGACGTCTTTTTCAAACTATAAATAAATTTAGTGGCTTGGGATAGAATTAAAAAAGAGAGAGTAGAAAAACAACAGATTGCATTTTCTACTCTAGTAGAAAAGTATCATTTTATGAAAGCTTTGTTTTGAAACATGTTTGTGAAACTGGATTGAGGGGAAGAAATGGATTTCTTCCTGTATAGGGTCAGACAAGTTTGAAGGTCACTAGCCTAGAGCATAGTAAGGCATTCAATCAATGTATGCCAATAACATGGAATTCAGCTAATATTTAACCAGGGTGGTTTCAGAAGTGTTTTTTTATTTCCTGTAAAGTTGTCTTACTAGAAAACCCTCTTTAGACTATCACAACTGGCCTTCCATCCAGTCTCCCACACTGAATCCCTCCCTACGCCCACTCATTCTGTGTCCACCACCATCTTTGCAAAGCCAACTCTGATGATATCACTCCCCTATTCAAAACCCTTCACAAATGAAAAGAAAGGCAAAGTCCTCAGCTTCCTCTCCATAATTCCCTGATCTGTGTTCCATGATGTAGCTCAACGAAACTATAAGGCTTGCTTTTCTTAGCTGTGCCGTCCACCATCTCCCTTCTGGCCCTTTGCTCTATCTAAAATGTTCTTCCTCCTCTCCCATGCTGTCTCTCAAAGCAATTTCATTTCTTGGCTTTCCAAATGGATGGGCCAGCTCTCTATTTTGAACCACTTTTGTAGCCCTTTGTGCCTCTCTATGGGTTTGCTGGCTACCTTGTGTGACAGCGTTTACCTGTCTTGTCACACACATTCCCCTGAAAGTGGGAATTCTTTCTGTATCCATTATAGGGCCTTGCATAGTGTCCGAAACAGAATAGGCTGCCCCAGTAGTGTCCAACTAATCATTTGAGTAGAGACGACTAACTGTCCCCGGCATCCACTGCCCCCTCCTTCTAGAATAGTACCCCCTACCCGGAGTTTTAGCAGAGTGTGTGGTCACCCAGCTAGAGACTACACTTCCCAGCCTTCCTTGCGTCTAAACGTGGTAATGCAACCAAGTTTGGGTGTGAATGAAAGTGAGGTGTGAAAACTCCCGTGTCACCTCCTTAGAAGGAATCTGCTTACCCCCAATTTTGTCTGTTACAGGAAATTCCTGCAGAAGTGGTACTGGTGAGACAGCTCTAAGGATTCTGGTGTGGAGAACACTCCACCGAAGGCAAAACAAGGGCAGCAAAAGAGCCAGAAGGAACCCGAGCCCCTGCGTGACTTTAGGGAGCAGAGCGGTCCCCTCGCCCTGGCGTCCTCTTCGGATGAGTAACAGAATCAGTGGGATCCCTTGTTGCTCTCTGCAAACAAGTCCGTGATCGGAGGATTATGTAGCTGGCAAGGCTAGCAAACCTCCGCTGTTCGAGACCTTTCTAGATGCCGGGCTTGAGGAGCCATGTTTGCAAAACCGTTCCAAACTGCCGCATCCACTCTCCTCTCCCCATCACGCTAAAGTCGGAAGACGTTTATTTTATCATTCCTTCAAGCAATCTTTGCATATCCGACAAGTATTGACAGAGGGCCTGCCCTGTGCGGGCGCTGCGGTCGGTGCAGAGATGCAGCAGTGATCCCCAGATGGGTAAAGACGCTGACCGCACGGAGCTCCCTTTCTAATGTGGAGAGAGGGCCATTAACGGAAACACAAAGGAAGACCACCACACAAAACAGACTCTGAAAAAAACATCCAAGGCGAGGGGATGAGAGCAATGTGGAGGACAGTGGGCGATTCTTTCCGATCTGATGTGCAGGGAAGCCTGTCTGCTGAGTGGGCATTTCAGCAGAGGCCTGAGACATGCAGGTATGTATGTGAAGGGAAAGTCGTGCAAGAGCCCCTCACTGGGAGTGGGCCTGGGGGGGGGGGGTCCCGAAGCTGTGAGGAGGCCAGCAGGGCTGGGGTGGAATGACACAGGGAGCGAGTGCCGGGGCGGGGAGTGTGGAGAGGTGTCCAGGGCCACTTCACGCAGGGTTCTGGAGGCCACGGGAAGGACTCTGGCCAGGAGAGGGGATGCGATCAGACTTCTGTTTTAAAGTGGTCCTTCTGGGGGTGCCTGGGTGGCTCAGTTGGTTAAGCGTCTGCCTTCGGCTCAGGTCATGATCTCAGGGTCCTGGGATCGAGTTCCGCATTGGGCTCCTTGCTGTGTGGAGTCTGCTTCTCTCTCTGTCTGCCGTCCCCCCTGCTTGTGCTTTCTCTCTCTCTGACAAATACATAAATAAAATCTTCAAAGAAAAATAAAGTGGTCCCTCTGATGGGAACTCTTAAAGGGGGAGTGGAGTGGAAGCCACAGGGGTGACCGGAGCAGTTCAGGTGGGAGATGCTGTGGGAGATGCTATTGCAGCGCCCCAGGGCAGAGGTGGCCAGACGTGGTGGGATCTGGTGCAGAAGAAAGAGAAATCCAACCAGGCAACCTACTAGGGGCAGGGCGACATGTAGGCAGCCAAAACAGAGCAACATTTTACATTTATGGTTATATTATCTCTAACACACGGTCATTTGCCTAGTTACCCAAAGTACTACGTGTAACACTGAAGTAATGAACTGTGTGTGACTAAGAGCTGTTTAGTGAATTAAGACAGACTCAGGCTTGGTTGATGATCACATATGACTTAACTAATCAGACTGGGCTGACTAAGAACGGTTATTTTCGCCAAAAAGTCCCTAACTATCCCTGTTCACGGTCCTAACTTCAACAGTACATTTCGGAGTTCTAGGGCACAGCTTTCCTTCTTTTTTTTTTTATTTTTTATTATTATGTTATGTTAATCACCATACTAGGGCACAGCTTTCAAATGAGTGCTTAACTCCTATTGCTGCTCATGTGTCCATTGTCA